AATGGCGCTGAAGTAAGGAGAAGCTCATCATGGAGAAAAGATAGAACTGTATCTTATCACAAAACCTGTTTAAGATAACCCTGTATCTGTTGACAGTTTATACTCACTTTTTCAATCCTTTCTGTTGGCCTTTTTATATTTTCATAGAGTCAAATAACTATTGAAATGAACCGTCATAGAAAAAGTAACACTGGCACATAAATCAGAAAAACTAACTTTAACAAAAGAGGCTAAGTTTAAGATAATTTATTAGACATGTACTTCGTTTTTACATTTGGCCCCTGTCCCATCTGTTACTATGGAGGAGGTAGAGCATGTGACATATCCTGCTGCCAGCCTATGGGGTAAGCTCCAAAAGTTTTGGCTTCCTTCTTTGGGGAAGCTGTCACATCATCCATCTTTTTATACATTCAATAACGGCGTCTCAATTCAGGGGCCTTTTGGCAACAAGTTGTCACCACATCCTTTGATAATGGTGGAATATTATAACTGGAATGTGTCATTTGATGGTACATTTTAATAGCTATATATTGAACATACAGTCAAATGACCTCTTTAGCAGATCTTTGTCGTATGTTTATAGTTTATGTTGAGCAAATATAGACTTCTTTATCAAGTAAAATCAAATTACTGGTTTGAAAGTATTGGCCTTCAAGTTATATTTTTGTTGGGCTAACGACTTGATGAGTAAGTTCCTGAGGCATTGATTCCCGCTCTCTTTCCAGGAGTATTATAAACAGGTCGATTCAGTTACACCACATCCTCTGTATGCCTAAATGTTTGGATTTTCTCTCATTATCACTGGTTACAGCGTGCTCACGGACAATACACTTTCTGGCTCCTCTTCTGTGTCTGACTTTCACTCCAAGAAATGATGTCAGTCTGGAGCGACCCTGATCACTTTTTAAAACAAGACCGGCCTGTTTGTGTGTTTACTTTTCATCAGTCCTTATTATCGTCCTCTCACGTTATTTTTACATCTCTAATGATGAATATCCATAATGCATAATCACCTCTGTGTTTCTGGGGAGTTAACCCTAATGTTGAAGTGCATCTGACACAGGAGCGCTGCAGATTAATGAGTGTATCTCTGCTGATTGATTCATTACATTAGTTTTATTTGAGCAGATCAGTTGATTGAAGGAAGCTTTTTAATTACAGCCACTCAGTTGAATGAATGTCCGGGATCAGAGTTCAGCAATGATTATGTGGCACAGTTTATGCTCTTGGCACAGCGCGCTTATATACTAAAACCAAGTAGGACACTGTAAACTAACACAAAGAACTGAATTTGTCCCTCGAGTTCTTTGTTTCATTCCCCTGTGCCTTCCTGTTTTCAGTGTTGGCTATACCCCCGCTTGTGATCAGAGACAAACCAAAGTTTGAACATAGACACCTACACAGACAATTAGAGAAGAGGGCTACTTTGTTACTTCTTGTAGGAAATCCTCAGACATTTTCTGATCTGTACCAGTAAAACTGGGGGAGAAAATAACAAAGTATGAGTCATTCAATTTACTCGGCGGCCAAACAAGCATGAATGCAGAGGAAAGTCATGTATAATATGGTTTTTTTGACTCAAATAGAGAGTCTTCTAATGATCTTACACCAAAAAAAAAAAGACTAAATCAAGACAACATTTGTGTCCTCGGGTCAGTCGTCTTTACACAAAAGAGCTTTCAAGATATTTCTTGGCCTCATTTGCTGCTCCATCACAACCCAAGCCCTACATTTATGGTTTTCCACATTAGGCTATTTCCACTCTCTGAAAAACAATACATCTTATGGTGCACAAACACAGCTGATTTCACTTCATCTTCACTGGTCTGCATCCTGTCTAATGTGGTGTGGGGCTTCAAGTATGTCATTTCCACTACAGTTCAGATGCCCAGTATGATCATCTAAGAGCATAAAAAACTTGTTTGTCTATAGACTGAGACTGGATCAGGCTTTTGGGACACTGTAAATTAAACTGTCCACGCTAAAGGAGACAACTAAATCACAGATTTCACAGACAAAAAAAGATTAAACTGAAAAATCTCACCGGTGTAGGGTTGATAAATGTGATTTTCTACCTCTTTATCAGTTCAGGAAGAAGATCTTGCAGATCTATCTTCAAGCTGAGCTGTAACTTAGTGTGACTGCTATTGTTAAGGAGGAAATGTTACAGACATGCTTCATTGAAAAAAGGGAAGAGGAGACCTTGCTGTGTCCACCTACGCTGACTGTTTTCTCTTAGTAAAACTCCTCTGTATCTCCGACATCTGTCACAACTGACTGCTCTGTGTTTGCTTTTCACACAGAAGATAGGGAAATTTGTCACCATACATGAAGATATTACTCATGGAAAAATGATCATACAGTATCACACACAATTTAAGTATAGATGTGTTTGGTCCAGTGACCTTGTTTGTCCACAAACATATCTGAGTAATCCACTGAGCTCGGTAGGAGAGGCAAAGGTGACAGAAAGCTCTGACTGTATAATGACCATCAGTGTCAGAGTATTTGATGTTTGTCAGTAATTCTCCACAGAGGCCACAAGGATCACCTTCAACAGTGCATATAAAGCTGACAGAGACCATTCACTTTTCAAGAGACGCTTGTGGAAACACAGAGGGGACAGTGCCAGCATTATATGTACAAGTCTAGGTGGCCCAAAGAGCAAATTTTGGTCAAAGCGTGTTATGAAAGAGAAAAGGTAACTGGGTTACAATTTTGGAAGAATGGCTCTGCCCTAGATTTCCCCGGAGATGACGTTCTTGTTACACCGTGAAGCAGTCACATTTCAAGAAATGCACATCTGCCGCCGCGTATTTCAGTGACATGTTATGTCAGACCTACATTACGCATCATGACATTTGATGCGATGCATTTAACGCAAGAGCAGAACATTCAGAGTTTAAACTACACTTGATTTACAGTACAGTTCACTTCACTTGATACAAAACATGAGAGTAAAGTAATAAAATAGATGCATCTTCAGCACTTATGATATTTGACCAGACAAAGAGATGTGCATCCTGCATTTGAGCACCAGAAATGTGTTTTCTTAGTTGTAGTGCAGCACCCACTTTTTTATGTTGAGCATCTAACTGCAAGCAATGATGGTCAGCTACGAGTTCATCTGCCAGGATCTGTCAGAGGATCCAGCTTTTCCACAAGTTATCTCAATGAAAGTGTCAACATATTACTTACAAGCCTTATAATTGGAGAATATTTCATTTTGAGTAAGAGAAAATACTGTTCGAACACTATGAAGTCCATATATTTTCCAGTTGAGCCAATTCATCATTGAAAGGGCAACTGGACTCGTGTGAGGTCATACGAGTCCAGTTGCCCTTTCAATGATGAATTGGATAACCATGACCTGGATGAATGAGAACCCACGCAGACATACTCAAGTTTAGTTCAGAGCATGTAACCACAAACATGAAAAAGACAGAGCTGACCCCACTGTTGTCCAGAAGATGATGTTTGACACCCCCTTAAAGAGGGTCATGGCTGAAAAAGCTGGCTGTTAACGGAGCGCCATATGAAAACTTCTTCATTGAGACTTGACCACAAGGGAAAATGTGGCAGTAAAAGGTGCACAAGTGACAAGGATAATAGTCAATTGGTCCAAAGTCCTCTTTTCAGATGAAAGTATTGAGAAACCAAGGTCCTATAGTCTGGAGGGGAGTGGATTAGCATAGAGCTTCTGTAGTCTGTGATGGTTTATGGTGCCATGTCATCTGCTGTTGTTGGTCCGTTGTGTTTGAATGAGTCCAAACTCAACCAGAGGATTTTAGAGCATACATGTTTCTGTCTGCTGACAAGCTTTATGGAGGTGCTGATTTACCTGCTCACAGTGCCAAAACTACCACCTGCTGGTTTGCTGATTATGATATTACTGTGCTCTGTGGGATATTTGTCGAAGCAATCAAAGCAACATAAGCTTTAATAACATCTCAGTAGAGATAAAGGTTGATCGCCTTCATGCCACTCTGCACTGTATTCTGTAATTTGTTGTAAAAGAGTGTCACCAAAGTACTGAGTGTATCAGTGAGCAAACTTCAACATTAAAATCATGAGAAAATAAAGACTTTTTCAGGACATTCAGGTTTATTGAGACACACTTTTACTGGTTAGGACATAAACGTTGCGCAGCTCTGATTTTGTTGGAAAGACTCCTCAATCAAGTCAAAAAGTGGCCGGCAGAGGTGTGCGTGGCCTTTGGCAAATTGGATGCTTTGGGTGAGTCCTAACTGTGACACTTCAATTTTTTTTGTCCAGTGTTTGAACCGAGGTGTGGATCACTGAAGTGGTCTTTCATTGAAAATATTTCTAGCTCCTGTTCCTCCTGCCAACTCCTACACAAATTGTTGAAATCATTCATGTCTGCAACAACTCACTGTGTTTCTGAGGGGAGCACCCTGTGAACCTGCGCTGGCCGACTGCTGCGATTAAAAACGAGGAGACTCGATCTGTCCTCAGGCAGAACTCATAGAAACAAGAAGAGAGCCCAGTTGTTGTGTTTGCCTTTCCAACCATCCAGACCTTTTCCTTCCTTTACTGCAAAAGTGAGATATTCAGTGAGGAGTTTGATTTTCAATAGAATTTGCTTTTTCAGCTTATTGCTAACCTACATGAGTGTTTAAATGAGGCATTGTCTTGTATTTGAAGGAGTAAGTGATGCAACAACTGCAAAAGACCTACAATTTGCCATCTTTCTGACACTCTTTCATTGGATAACTAAACATCTTTATATACTTAAAGCATTCCTTTAATTATCTGTTGAAGCCCATGATAAACTAAAGGCAACTATTAATTGATCTATTCATAATCTTGACTTTTTAGAGCCTAATTTTTTTTTCCATGTGTTACAGAGCTAAATAAGTATCCAAAATTTGCACTGAGTGATATTTTCCTGTTTGTTTGTGTTTTTTACTTTAACACTTCAGGTCCTGCAAACAAAAACTATACAACACTCTGATTAACCTTTGCAACAAACTGCAGCTGTTCGGGGAATTGACTGAGGCCTTTTAAAAGAACAAAACAATATATCTGTGACCTTTTTTTAAAGATTTAAAGCCTCGTAGGAAAAAAAAAAAGGCTGGGGAAGGAGTGTGTCATAGAAAGTGCAGACGTCAGAGAGCAATAGAGGATGGGATGGGTTAGTTTGGAGTTTTTGAAGTAGGTTTTGTTAGAAATACATAGAAAAGAAGACCAAACTTATCATAAAAGGTGTTCAGTACAATGTGCATGGAGATCTGTATCTAGTGTCTGATTCATAAAGAAAGTTTGAAAATTCAGTTTTAACCAGAAAATCTAGACATTCTTTGAAATATGTTATTTTGCCCTGCAGATGTGATTGTCCTACCAGGATCCCTCTATGAGGACATTGGCGTCCACTATGTGAATGAGCATTAGGGGAAGCCTCTGGTTTAACACCTTCAGAGCTGCGCATGTTAGATTCATATAGACAGAGCGGCCCTTGGGGGGTTTCTATGCATTACTGACAGCATTGCTTCACATGTTCTCATGCAGGCTGCACACACACTCACATATCGCATGCAAACCATAGGAATAGTTCAGGAAAGCCAGCTGCCTTACATTGAATTTTTCAGAAGGCGATTATTTCTAGAGCTTGAGAGGATAATTTTATACAAACTGCTTGTGTAATGTTGAAACAGTCGTCAACACATATTAAAAATAGCTTCTTTTAAGGATACTTCAACATCAGGTCAGCCAGAGGGGTAACTGGCCAGTAGCTTTCAACCGACACAAGTAATGAGCCTGTGAGCCTCAGGCTGTCATCGCTAAACATTTTATATATTTAATGACTTATTTTCTTGCTGTTTGGTTGGATGAAAACTTTGTGTGGCTCTGTGGTAAACTGTTGAAGAAGAAACGCCATTTCTTTGAAACGTACCACGTCTTTATTTCTCTTAAGATATAAGGCCAAGCTCTTACTTTTATCAGAGAAGTGTTCTCATAACAGGTTATATCACTGGGCTATAAACCAGAAGGACACCTGAGCACTGAGGTCAGGTGTTGGTCTGAGACTGGGGCCCTGCGATCTGTTGCTACCTGTTCATGCTGGTTTAAAAAGTCTGAGTGACCTTGTTTTTTAAAATGAGAGAACCAAAGTCGAGCTGCAAACCGGAAGTATTAGGAAAAACACAGGGTCCAATCCCTGAGGGATGGCTGTGTAATTATTTAGGAAGGGGACAATTCAGGGAGGAGCGCTTGTCCCGCTTTGTAGCAGATCAAATTTTGAAAAAGCAATTAAAAGAGCTTGCTCTGCAGAGCGTGCTCATAAAAAAAAGCATTTTCCACTTTATCCAATTAAATCCAAACCTGTTTGGTTTGGACTTTCCACCTGCATAAACGGCAGAGTAGTCGTCAGCATCCCAGTCCCCTCATTGAATTTTTTTTTCTATCTAATCTGGTCTAATTGTCTTGCTCTAATGGAGGGAACAAAGGCACTGCGTTTTAAGCCCGCAGTCTCTTCCGGTGTGGCGTCACAGCCGAGGATTTCTCAGTAGAAAGATTGATTTGAAAATGAGGTGACATGAGTTGACCACAAGCAGGACTCACTTTCTCATCTGGCGGTATTTGCTATTTGTGGCAGCCAACATGTGTTTGTCATGATGGGACTTGACATCTCCTCCAAGGGGGCAAAAGGAGCGACTAAGTGGACAGAGTAGAAATTATGTGAGAGCCGCTGAGAATGACACTCTGACCCTCTACAGATAAAATGTTCAATTTGAGAGATTGGCGATATTTTGAAGAAGAATCCACCATTACTGCTTTACTCAATCAAATCTCTTCCCTTGCTCTCAAATTTTGAGTGTTTTGAGTGTAAATAAAAAGTCACCTTGACCTCTGCATGGATTGCACGTCCAGAGTTTTTTCTCAGGGTGCTTGTCTTTGGGGAGTGGATTTACTGTTACAGATTAATGGACGGAGTTTCACTGCGTTCTGAGCAACAACAGCTCCAGGAATAAGTGGAGTTTACTTAAGTGGAAAACTGTCACTCATCATTCATCCTTTACCAGTAATTCCACAGATATTCGCTCCATACATGAATGATTTATCAGTTGTACAAAAACTTACTGATGTCTGAAACAAACAACAGAGATTCCACTTCTATCATCAAACAGTTTAATAATATGCTAATGGCTGGTGTAATGATGGATTTAGCCCTCACCATGGAAGCCTGGATTGTTTGTGTGTCCCCTAGGAGTGAGGTGGCAAAAGTGGTGATGTATATAAAAGTACAGCAGCAATGAATCACAGAGAGATGGTGCAACCTCTTCCTGTTTGAGGTTGGCTGTAGATGCATGTTTACTGAGCTAAACTGAAGCGTTGGAGTCATCAGTGTGGTCCTGAATAAGTGTTGTATCAGTAGCAATTTGTCCTTATTTTCAGTATTTTTATGCTCTTTATTATTGGTCATTTTGCACTGTAGTTTAAAAAGTGGTTTTGAAGGGAAATCTGTAGTTTAAAAAGAAATATTCCAACATTGAAAAGCACATTGAAATCAAACTCTGAAAACGAGATCTGACTGAGAGCAAAGACAAAAGCATAAACGAAGCCTTTTTCTTCAAACTATTTCCCTCTTAGACTCCAAGAACTTCCGCAATTATTTCCAACTTCTCCCTGGTCTAAGTGAAAATGCCAGCAGGTGTGGCACCTATATGGCTATTCTGAAAGCGCAGTGGTAGACGCTCGTGCACGCGCGCGCACACTCACATATGACTCATCCCATCTAAACTCAAGCACTTTGTCAGAGGCGTCCATTCACGTTACACCCATGCAAGAACGCGCAGACTCAATCCCGGCTTGGAGCGCGACACTTATTGTGAGGTTGGCTATATAAGCCCATTCAGCATCTACTCTTAAAGTAACTATATACTAGTTTGCTCAAAGAAGTGAAGGAGGGCGGCATCTCGCCAACTGATACCTGGCAACCTACACGGCTGTGCTGGACATCCTGTAGAGACTGAAGGTAATAAAAGCTTCTTTTATTTCATCCTTTTTACTTCTTCCTCTTTTCTTTGGCGCAATTTAATGCAAATAAATCTGTTTTGATAACTTTACTCGAAGATGGGTGGAAGTTGATTTTCTGTGTTTAAAACTTATCTAACAGAACTGGCAACAAGCATAGATAGCAGAGAAAATATTCAAGCCTTCAGTGTTTATCTATCACTGAACCGAAAACTGTATCTATCTTTTACGCATGACATACACCACATGGAATGTCTGTATTTCGTGCGTAAATTCCTCTTTACGCAGCAGGTTTTGCAATTGAACAGAGATTATAAAAACTGTAGAGTGAAAATGATTCATGTTTTTTTTCCCGTCAGATTCCTGCCGATATCCTGACATGAAGCTCAATTTACTTGGAACCACCGTGATTCTGCTAGTTGCCTTCTTACCCCGCTTCGAATGTCGGGCAATTGAGAGCCCTGGCGGTGCCCTGCGCGTCCCAGCTCCCCAAACCCAAAACTCCCAGCAGCAGCAGCAGCAGCAGTCTGGTCCCATTCTGGAGCGTCTAGGAGAGGAGTATTTCATCCGACTGGGTAACGGGGACTCTAACTCTTTCCCGTCCTCGTCAATGTATCCCGGTGCATCACCTTCCCTCTACAACAGAGCGCTGCAACTCCAGCAGCTGACGCGGCGTCTTTTACAAGGGAAAGTTGGGAACATCAGGGCGCTCATAAGCGGCTTCGGAGACCACGGGGACGAGTCAATGGAGAGAGGAAGGAGGTCCGAGGACCCGCCGATATCCCTGGATCTGACCTTCCACCTGCTCCGGGAGATGATGGAGATGTCCAAGGCGGAACAGCTGGCCCAGCAGGCGCAAAATAACAGACGAATGATGGAGCTCTTCGGAAAATGAGTTTCCTCACCGCCAAAGATTTCACTTTACTTTTTTTTTCTTCTCCTTTTTTATTTCTTTTTTTCATTTGTACCATCGGCACAAACGCGCTCTGTACAATATAGTGCTGCTTTATCACTCAATTATTTATCGATTGAACCTCAAACGATGGAGCGTAAACGGGCTTTACTTAAAATGATCCGATTGTACCTTGGCATTTTAATGTTGGTGTCAGTCTGTGGTACGCACCGTTCCTCAAATTCGAGATACCTTTGGATGAGACATGAAGCATTGCAATGACAAAACTGGCATTTTGTTTTAGATTATGAATCACTGTATTTATGATATTTATGTTTGTTAATAAACTTAAGTGCAACCAGTCATTTTCTGTTGTGCAAGAGAACGTCTTATATCTATATTTTTAATAAAAACTTAAAGCAACACTGACACTTCTCTGTGGATATCCTTACATGAATTAATAACTTCTATGAAACTAACTATTCCAATCTTCTCTAATTGCTAACACAATAAACGCACACTTACTGTTTCACCACAGATTTGTAATCTTAAATCAGAGAAAAATAAAGAGGGTTTTTCTTGTACAAGGTAAGAATGCAAACACTTAAAAGAGCACAAATGGCCACTGCATCTTGAGTCTTGCCTACACAAATATTGATTGATAGAGAAAAGTTTTTCTTACTGAATATAAAAATCTTTATGGTGTAACCATGGCATTGCTTTAGTGCCAAGTCGTGGGTTTACACCGTGCCTCCCCCCTAAAACACACAGCAGAAGGAGCTGTAACAACAAAAAAGATGTTTCTGTTGTAAGAGCGCCTGCAGTTGCGCAGGTGGAGAACATCCAAACTGCATCCATCCTCTCTGCTAAACCCTTAATCCTCAAGAAGTGATTCCTTTGTAGCAGCAAGACACAAACAACACTCCACTGAAAGATGCACCACTGATTGCTAATGAGTGTGAAAGATGTGTGTGTTTGTGTGTGTGTTTGCTGATCCTTGACCCTCGGTGTCAGAGTAAAACTACACAAGAGCTGTGGCTGTGAGTCATCCTGTTCTGTTTGGCCCACTTAGCAACTTGGGGCTTAGTGCTGCTTTGAGCCCATTTGTAAAAGATCTCGCTCTCCCGTGCAATAATTAGATGGTACTCAGAGACGGACTTCCTCAATAATAGGGACACAGTGAGGTGAAGAGAGCCAGTGTTTGACCGACAGTAAGAGGCATGTTCAGATCTGGGGGGAGAATTATCTCATATCTGACAGAAAAAGCTTTAAAATGACATATATGGATTTACTTTATAGAAATAAATGAAAAAGAGTGTGAGGAGGAGATAAAGGGAAGGGGTAGAAAGCATGTCTTAATCCTCTACACATGTGTGCACGGACACACAAATAGGAGAAATGTCACACAAAATCTATACCAGCAAGGATGTGTCCAGACTCCCTCTACAGGGGTCGGCCATAGACGGGAACTGATTCATGCAAAGGTGACATAAAGTATGATGCACCCACAGACACGTGCATATTAATTGCATTAATTTATCCTTTTTTTTCATCTCCACTAATCATCAACTTTAACTACTAATAATCAGACATCACACAGATTTATACCAGTATTTCAATTCGTTTAGCTTGATGAGGTAACACAACAAACTTGCAAATCTAGACTTGAGAAATTCGATGGACTGGTGTCTCTCCCGCACCTCAGTCTTGTTAAAGCTCCCGTGAAACTTTGTCATCATTTCTGAATGTCTGAAATACATAATGATGCATTTTATAATGTATTAAAGTAAACAACACAATTTGCAGCAAGACTGATCGTTTTTGTATCTTCATTTTTGATGCCTCAAACTAATGCGGGTCGGTAGATGCCAGCAGAGCAAAAACAGAAACAGCTCTGTTTTATCAATTAACACACAGCATATATTAACACCAATTAATTCTATATTTGGCTGTTAAAAGTCAGCATCAAAAATCACCATTTAGAGGACAACAGAGGACAAGATTGTTTTGTTCACAGGGGGTGTGAAAAGTGACAAAAACTAAAGTTCCTCACAGGAGTTTCCAATAAATGCTCAAGGGTTTTTCTACGGTTCAAAGATCTAACAAAAATGTGTTATGATTCAATGGAAAGCACCAGCAGCCTGTCACGACAAAGCCGGAGTGGAACAAGGCAAATGGCCAATACTATTTCAAGATTTTAGGGTTGAATCTAACACAGCCAATCAGATATAAAAAGTGGACCCATGCCATCCCTGACCACCTTTCAGACAAGCACCTGCAGCTCATGACCCCACTGTGTTTTTCAGTTTCAGCTATTTAAAAAAAAATCATGTCAGTACTTGTGCAAATCTGTTTTAATGACCCATATTACAAAACATACCATAGTAGGGGAAAAACGTGATCTTTTGTCCATTATAGGAAAATACACCTGCATTACACAACAAAGAAAATGGCACATAATGAAAACTGATGAATACATGAATATATAAAATGTCACTGTGATAGTTTAGTACTCGGCTGCCCTCCTCATAATGTTATATTGGTCATAAAAAAGTATACGACAGGCAGGAAAACCTTGTAATGATGTTAATGATGTAGTTTAAGCAGTGATTTGTGAAAGGTCAGTTCGATAAAAAATGTATGAACATATGTGAAAATATGCTTTGGACATTCTGCTAACATTAAATGTGACAAACAAAAATGGAAAACAAAATTTGTAACCTGCCCAAAAAAAAAAAGAGAGAGAGACTCTTTGGTAGGCGGTGACGCAAACTAACACAATCTCAATAAAAGCGGCAGAAGAGAAGTGAAATTTCTGCCTCTTTCTTTAGATATACCTCAGCAACTCAAACTTTCCCTTCGGCACAGATCTAAATCTGTCTCAGTGCTTCCCCGATCTGGGAGCAGACGTGTCACAACTGACCTGAAATCAACATCTAGTCGGCGCGAAACTTATCCTGCTCAAGTTAAGGTTCAGTCTGGGCGGGTGGATGACAGCTAGGTCGAGGCTGTGCTCTTGGCTGTGCTGGGGGAGGAGTTGGTCTGCTGGGGGGCAGAAGGTTGGACAGAGGTGGATGCAACAGCACTGCCTCCTGCAACAGTATGCGCTCCCTCTGCTTCCTCTGTGCCTGCTTCACCATCCTCATCCTCTTCATCCTCGTCGTCATCATCTGTAGAAAAACAGAAACGGAAATGACAGTTAGGATCCCGATGAGACGGAAGTAGAACAAATGTTCCCATCACCGACAGCGTTCTGTCACCATGGATGAAGTTGATGCTGCACAAGGCCTTTCTCTCCTTCTTGAAGTTGGTGTTGTAATGATCCATATTCTCATAACCACGCTCAACTTTGTCCAAGTGTGAAATACTTGAGGCGTCTGCAATCCTGGGAACGGAAGAGAAGCTCTTATATTGATCGGAAAAAACAACAATGTTAGGCAATGTAACACATGATAAACACGCCATCAGTCTGTGACACCGAGCACATTACACACCTGAAGACATTCATTCAGTTTTATAAAGTTATTTCTGACAGCTTCCACAGAGTAGATGTGATTTTTGTTTTAGTTCACTTCATGGTTGCAGGTCCAAATGTGCACAATCATACGCAAGAGTAGACACAGCAAGAGGACAGTTTTTGAAATAAACTGTATTTCTACTTAAATTCATCAGTTTAGGTCGTTAAGTGATACGTCACAATGTGTACTCACTTTTTGAGGAGAGGCTTTGTGTTCTGAAAAAGACAAAAAAAAACAATCATGTTTGTTGTAATCGCTATAATTTCAATAACTTTAACAGGTTCAATAATTTTGGGCCAATCAAACCATTAGCTGATACTGTTATTCATTAATCAATTACTTTTTTTTTTTTTGAGTATGCTACAGAGCAGGATTTGCAGATATCAAGGTAACTTAAGGCAGCTCCTGGTACTTTATTTCTTGTCTCATCAGTCTATCACTATGGTAACTTAGGATGAACTCCTAACCTGCTCTGGGAAAAGTGACTGAGCACACAGTTTTGGGTTTCTGTGAGGGAAAAGGGTATGGGACAATTTACCTTCATGTTTAATTTTACACAAAAAAAATAATAATAATGAGCGTTATTAATCACGTAATGATACAGACTGAGAAGATGGTATTCATGTTTATTATCCTCATTCTGCTCCCTTTGACGCAGTCCAGACTGCAGCTGTAACATTACATCTAAAACAGTTGCATATGCCACTAGAGTAAATAAGAACAGCAGTTTCATGGAGTCAACAAAGTTTGTTGTCCAGTTTTTAGCGAACTAATGATGGGAAAATTTGAAGTCTTAATTTGTGCATTCACTCAGCGTCTTTTCTTTTCTCACAGTTCTTTCTCAACTATCTGTTTAACTTCTCCATGTTTCTCTAATGTCATACAATGCTCTACGTTTGAAAACTATGATGATCTCCTACAGATTGATGTTGAATTTGTTTCAGATTTTCTTGACCCTGTTTCATGTTGATTCTGACCTCCAGAAACATGGCCATTTCCGGCTCCTCCATAGTCTGGATCCCCTTCTCCACGATCTTGCAGCTTTCCTCCAGGTGGTCTCCATACTTCCTGGTCAGGCCCCTGATATAGTTCAACTTCTCTTCCTGTTCGGCTGTCACCTTCTGATTCATCTCCTTCTTCTTCTCTTCCAGGATGGAGTACAGCTGGTCGAACTTCTCACACACCAGGTTCTTCTGCCTCCTGCCATTTTCCTGTACATGCATGAGTGATAAGCAGAAGGAAACACATTAGAAATTCTGAGAGTCCGGCTGTATTAATCTTTCATTACGGCCCTTTGGGTGAAAAATGTATGTAGACGTAACTCTTGGGTATCAGGGAGTTTAGAATATTCAAAAGCACATATCATATCATAGAAAATGAGAGGAAAGTTGTTCTTTTCTGTCTAAGATTGTGTTAATACTGCAAATGTTCTTGTTAGTTTGTCCTCCGCTCTTCCGGTAGCACCATATGTGCAGGGAGGACACAAAAACCCGTTCTGCTTCTCTGTCCTGAATGACGCCACTGAGGGGGAAACCATCAGACCTGGAGCTGCTCCAGCTTCCTCTTTACAGTTTGAATGTGACATGAGAACCACAGGAAAGCTGTCTGCCCCCTCGCCATCAGTTACTCTTCTAGTTTTTAATGTTTCCAGGCAGGAGGCAGCATGGAGAAACCTGCTAAGACCATGAAGAAGATCATGCTCCTACAATGTTGACAAGAGAGAGAAAAACAGCCTGAGGCAAAAAAGCATTCATTTTCCTTTTTCCTCCTCAGTGTCTGGATCTCACAGACAGATCAAAACAGAGAGAGTGGCAGCAACAAGGACACTGTGCATTTGTATGTTCATCTTTTCAGGTGAGTACAGGTAAATTTGTGTGAGTAAACAGCCAGATGATGTAGTAGCAGTGGGACACTGACCTCTATGGTACGGCAGGCTTCTTCCAGCTGACTGATAATGCCCTGAATCCTGTCGTTGTTGCCGACCATCATTGCGATCCCGTCACTCAGCTCGGACTGTGTACAAGGACGTGTCAGAGTTAATATCTGAGACTAACTGTGATTCAGGTCTGAGGAAATAAAAAGTGATTATACATGAATCTGAGGGGAGAATATCCATATTTACAACAGATTCCACTTTTCACTCTTTGACTTAGATATGTTTTAACTCATAATATGTACTTTGTAGCATTGCTTGATATTTACCACTGGTGTCGTTTTTTAAGACAAACTCTAAATCCAACTGTAACATCAATACCTACAATCAAAACACGTTGAAAAAAGCAACATTTCAACAGTGTCCTGGCAATAGAATCAACAATAGAAATCGTATTCAAGTCAGAGTTTACCAGGAACATGGCTAGATGATGCATCATGATTCTTTTGATGAAAGGAGATTTTTTTTGTGTTTGCAATTAACTGACAGGACAGGTGTAGGTTGACAGGTAATGTCAGGAAGATCGACCAGGGATGATATGAGCAAAGGCGTGAAAGAGAGGTGTTAAACCAAGGGATGTTACACCCAGTATTCACCCTTTACACATAAGGAAAAGCTGCTTTAACTTACACATTTCTTATTACAAAAATCTGTCATTACAGAGTTTACATGAATGACATTGAGTGATCTCATTTCATAAAAACTAGGCTGACAGACAAAGACCAAAAACATTAGGATAACTGTGTGAAGTTTAACTTCATAACAAAAACACAGCTTTATATTTGGAGCTTGAATTCAAGTGTACTCAACTTTTACTTTATTCTGTAATAATCTGCTGGTGGAAAAAATATGTTTATTTCACTCAGATATAGTCAGTCCTATACAACACGATGGTGTGATCAGGTCAGAATGCAAGAAAAATAAGTTCACCCATTTTGGATGTTGATACACAGTCATAAATAAAAAAAATGATGTTAAGACTTCACACATTTTGCGTGTCAAACAAAAATGGATCTATCTGTCTCTCTAGCTATCTATTATAAGTATTGATGACAACCATGAGCATTTGAGGCCTCACCTTCTTTGTCTGGAAGATACTCGTGATGGGTGCCACTTCACAGTCTTTGTGAGCCCCAAAAACCTTACACATGGAACATGTGGGCACGCCATGGGTCACACAGTAAATGTTGATCTTCTCTTCCTCGTGAACATCACACATTGGTGTCTCTTCCTTCTTCTCGGGGGTGGGTTTGTTGCTGTTGAGGTGTTGTAAAAGAGAGCAGTAGATTATCCTGTCATGACCGTACATTTGAGTGCATATTGATGTGACGTATAATGTCAGTTTGATAATGTCAGAGGTACACATTTCACTTGTTTATTGATCACCTATCAGTCCTGCCTGGACACACACAGGGACTGTCAGCACTTAAATCAATACCTTTATACATAAGAGTACACAGGTTCGCCAGCAGGTGCATATCTGTTTGTTTGACATGTATTTTTTGTAATTACTCCCTTGTCCTTATTCTTCTTTTTCCCTTAAATTGTCATCCACAATAACTCCACAGTGCCCTGACTCACTGTAAAGTTGAAGCTGAGTGAATGAATACTGTTGATCTAATGTCAAACAAGCCTCTAGGGTGTAATAGTCAACACCTCAAAAAAGACCCTTCATTTATATAGAAGTGACTAAAACCATAAACCCTCTCTGACTCAGATGCAACAAGCAGTAAGGCCCCGACTGCAGTTCTTCCTGCTGCCTATCTCCAAACAGACAGTGCATCTGTCCATCTGACTGGCCTCACCTGGTGGACTCCTGTTTGAACATGTCAATAATATTCTCCACCAGCAGGTTCCTCTGCAGCCCATAGACGCCATGTCTGTCCAGAACTACCTCATGCCTACAGGATGGGCATCGGAAGCGGCCACCTGACGTCAATGAGCCCCCCCTCGTTGGAAGATATGGATTTGAGGCCTGTAATCAATAACATTTAAAAATTTGGATTAAATGGGAAAGAACAGGAATTCCTAACAGCTGAACTTATTGTGTCCATTAAACTTGATAGTTTGGCTTGACAGTCACTAAATGTTATTCCAATTAAGATCCATTATCCCCAGTGCAACCTTGTTAGCAGCGGGGTGGTCTGCTATAACTCCCAAATTGGGTCCTCAAAAACAAAACAAAACTTTTACTCTGATGTAAATAATTTGTTATATTAACAATGTTTGTAAAAACAGTCTTAAAATGTAATCATAAGTTGAAATAAATAGCTTATCTGTCTATAGTTCTTAGTGTTAAATGAGGGAACCTCATGGAAGTAATGCTATACGTTCCTCAGCTTTCAGTGCATGTAGGACAAGATCATAAAAACATTCCCAGACAGAAAGCTTTTCAGGAGTTATCAGTGTGTACATGACAGCACTGTGTCCTTAAGTTGATAAAAACTTGGCTCCTCACCAGTGGAAAAACAACCCACCGTCATTTGTTCAGTTTCTTACCTGAAAAACATCATTGGCACATTTCCTACAGAGGTTGTGCTGGCAGGGTAGAATCACCACAGGCTTTGTAAACATTTCCAGGCATATCGGACAAATCAGCTGTTTCTCCAAGTTTTCCATGCTGTTCATTTTGAAGAAACCGACACACAAACTTGGTTAAAACACAAGCACTACACGAGATTAAGGCCCCAAAGCTGGTAAACAGTCTGTTTCTAAAAGCAATCTACAATGTGATCAAGTCAGGCTGAAGGGTAGGCCTGCTTGTCCTAGCGGGTGTGGGCTCCTATCTTGCTGGTGTCAGTTCTGTTTTTAGCAGCTACTGCAGTCACGTCAAAGGTTGCCATTTTTACCGTGCCCATATTTGAAACTGAGCAGGGCAGTACTGAACAGCTGCCCATACATCTTCCTCTACTCTGCTTGCAGAGATGGCTTGGTGTCTTTGCAGTCTGCTCTTTATTTTTTTTTTCTTTTCAAAGAAGTGTAGGCTTTGCATGGCACTAATGTTCATTTACAGCATACATGTTAAGATTTTAAGGAGTGATTTTGAACAGCAACAGGCCTTGATTGAGATAGAAGCCCTAATGAGACAATTACATTTTATTTGCTGTTTTCCTGTGACAACAAGTTAGTTTTAGCTAAACAATGACAGATAACTTTATCTGTCAAAAACTTTTACAATAACTTTATCTTAAATGAAGCAATGGTACATGAAAAAAAGCTTATTTATTCTTGAGATTAGTGGGAAAATTAATTTTAAGAATTTGAAATTCACATTCAAAATTTTAAATTTTCTATAAAGATGTAGAAAACGAGCTTTGATATCTGAAATGGGCTTGGCGTTTTGGGAGAACTCCAAAATGATGCATCTCCATTGAGGACAGTTTTTCTGCACATCCTTGCTTTGTGTTGTTGTTAAAGTTAGAAAGTTATAAAAGTTAGAAAAGAATAAAAATAAGTGGGTATATTTATAATTAAAAGAATAGAAAATCTGTGAACGTTTATGACTGAGAAATTCACATACAATAAAATAAATACATGGTCAAAGGCAGTGTTGGGAAGTAACGCGTGATTAGTAACGTAACGCCGTTACTTTATTCAGCGCCAGAAGGGTAAGATAAGTTTATCCTCATGCAGATACTCACATTATTTTCAACTAGGGGGCAAATGGAAAAACAACCTTTTGGTAACATGTAAACTGTGTCTATGGTAAAAAAAAATCCTTCTTATGGCGAACAACAGCAACCGCAATCTACTGAAGCGCCTAGAGATGCGGCATGCTTCGACAAAGTTAGCAGCGAAGGTAACGCAGCATCCAAGACCGAGATTCACAGCAGCGACCACACACCCACGCCACCAAAGCAGCAGCGGTTGGTTTGAGTAACTGAGTTGCTTTTTTACAAAGTCACTAGTCATTATTTTTCAGGAACTAGCACAACGCTGGTCCAAGGTTAGGACTGACATCGAACCTTAAGCTAACTTCGCTTAACGCTAGCTAGCATTGTCCGAGAAGCAACCCGACGTAGTATCAAGCCGAACTTTCAGGCAGTAACTTTAAACATCAAATGGACGATTCAGATGGGACCAAAATATATTTCACACCACCAGCAAGCAAAATAACTACAAGAATAATGCTAACGTAATGCGTATAATGCTAAAAAAACGAGAATGTATCATTAGTAACCTATTATTATAAACTTGCTAATGTTTACAGCAAGACCGGGGCTAGGTACAGCGAACTAGCTTACATCTCTTACGATTTCTGACCAAACCTTTATATGTTTAAGTCCTTAATCCTAAAACTATGTCATACTAAGTGTTAAACACGTGTAAACAACAACCAGAGTGTTCAAAAGTACCTGTATGTTGTTGATGAAGTCCTGAAGAGGAAGACTAAAAAAATGTCAGAAACGAAAAAAGGTAGCTTTGGAGAATGCGGGCATCGATCCCGCTACCTCTCGCATGCTAAGCGAGCGCTCTACCATTTGAGCTAATTCCCCTCGGTGTCACAATGATCAACGCTGAACAATTTGAATTTAGTTTGAATTTAGCTTCGTCACTATTTTTATTCAATTGACCTTTTGCTACATGAACAGTGCCATGCGGGCTGAGCTGATAAGCGTTCTTTGTGTTAGCGATAGCATATTTAATCAAGCTAGCATGTGGGCCAACTAGCGTCCCTGGACCTTCTTTGCATCGGTAAAATACTGTTTAACCTTCTAAAAACCCAGCCTTTTGTAAGATTTTCTGCCTCAGCTGGTCTTTAGAAAGTTTTAATGGCAGGTTACATCAGCCTTTTGTTCAGTTATGTAAGTTTGAGATTCCGTCTTTGTTCAGCACGGCCGGAATGTCCAACCCCTTCAAGCGAAGCGAACTAACATCGTTCGAAACTGATTGATCCTATTTTACGGTGAATATAGAAGCTAACAGTTTATTTGTTAAATTAAAACTGGCGCTTTCTGTAGTGTGAGCTCATCGCCCTTCGATAGCTCAGTTGGTAGAGCGGAGGACTGTAGAGGACATACGGATATCCTTAGGTCGCTGGTTCGAATCCGGCTCGAAGGAGTGACTTTTTAGTAATAATGCATTGCAGCACCGGTTCAGATGCCGATGACAGAAATTTGCTCAGGTATAAATGTGCATGGACACCATGTGCAATGTGAATTTAAGAGGTAGCAACAGTCACAATATAGACCTGTTTTGTGTGTATAAAGCTCAGGTGTGGCTGACTACCATGTGATGCCAAATTCTGCAAGGTAAAGACTTGTAATTATTCAGAAAGAAGTTTAAATGTGGAAATATTTTTGGAAAAAGACACCGTTTACTTTCCAAGACTGCAAGCCTCAACCCCAATCTAGGTGCTGTTGACTGGGGGACACATCTGTAAGCATCTTGAGTGCTCAGTTTTTGCGCTGCATTTTAAATTGCAAAAAGGTCACATGTGCATGCACTCCTCTCTCAAGGGAGTTTAAAGGTGATGTTTAGCATTAACTTTGGATGCAGCCAGTGATAGAGCAAATAATTATCATTTATTTTAGTCTAAAAATGTGCCGCAAACACTTTAAAATGCGTGACTCAGAAACAATAACTAGCAGTTGTGTGGAGGGCTGCTGCAACGACCACACTCTAATGAGGTGTTTTTGTTTAAATGACTAACATTTCTGTTTTGTTTTTTAAATTTGAACCAAGAAGTGAAGCATCTGGTCTCTTTTACTGGAGTGCTTGACTTTATCGACTATTCAGATTAATCCATATTAAAACATGCAGGAAAGAAGGTCTTCAGTTCTGACATGACTCATCAGAGGATGCCTAATCTAAGTTTTCATCTTGGTTTTTATGTCTGACTCATACAACACAACATCTGCATTCCTTTCACTTGGTAACACACCATACAAAGACTATATTTATGGTCAGAGTCAATGAGTCATATTTAAATGTTTGTAGATGTTATTCTTGAAGATGAATGACTGTCATTCTTCAGCTCCACCCTCTCTAACCTGTTTCTTGTTGTCTCTTTTGCTACAGATGGAAACCAAAACAAAACATTCAGTGACTACGCACCAAGTTAAAACCTGAAAGGTGAAAAGTACAAGAAAAACTAAAAAGAAGTAGCATCATTTTATCCTGCTACGCATTTGATGTACAGTCGTCTGTGATCTGCAAACCTGGAAAGATGTTACTCCGCAGATTCAAGACCATTTTGAATTTTAAATTCATGTAAATAGCTTTCACCCAGTTCACCATTTCTATTGACATCATTTTCATGTCATCTGCTGCAACTGATGTTTAGTGCTTACTGTGTGATGCGGTGGGCGCACCACTCTTTCCAGTATTAATTAGTCATCCTTAAAAAGGATGAATTAGTACGATTACATATTCATTAACCAAAAGAAAGGACGGCTCAAATGCTTACTGTGAAGCCACTCAAGAGTGAATTTAAATGAGATCAATTAAGAGGATGTTTGAGTTACATCCTAATGATTGAAGTGAATCCATAATTTTGAAGCCATTAATGTCTGACTCTTGATATTGCAGGGCTCGTTGGTAAAATCTAGGTTGAAGATTGTCAATTTAAAAGCACTATGAAGATGGACGGATGTTAGAAGGCCAATTTGAATGCCAGACGGACGCAGCTGTGAGTTTTCAGACTTGGCGCAGCCAGTTTAAAAAGCTCAGTGTGACCCTTCTTTTCCTCTATTTTACTCGGTGGTGGTACATGGTGTTATGTTTATAAAAAGATTTGATTATAAAAGGGTCTGCAGGTGCTGCGAAAGCCACCAAATACACACCAGGATGTGGCTGACACATTCTACACACGGATAGCTACACACATAAAGGTCTTCAAGCTCGTAAGCAAGATATACGTGTACATGGGACCAGAATAGAGGGCAGAGCAGGGGGTGCCATCTGTTCTCCTGTATGAATATTTCAGTTGGGTTTAAGACATACTGTATTCCTGCAGATGGTAAGTGTGATTGAAAATGTCCTGGTAAGCATTCTCAGATGAGGTTGCCTATTTCTGCATATCTACCAGTGACCTCAAATGAGCCTCTGAGATTCTATTTTTTCACCCAAATACATCACATGGGCTAAGATTAGAGACAAAACAAACACCAACATTCTGTGTTTGATAATCAACACTGTCACCATGCTACAAATATATAATCCTGTCGCTGTATGATAACGGAAATTTTCTGTGATGTCTTGACTCAGGCTTGAAGAGTCTATTTTGAAGAGTACTGGTAAAAGAGGTATGTACAAAATATGATATTATATTATTACTTGCATATTAGGGATCAAGTTTACTATCTTAACAAGTTGGCCAAAAAATGAATTTTGATTGTCAAACTTTCTGACAATTCTTAAATAAACTAGTTTGTAAAGTTCAGGGATAGTTAGGAGAATGTATGATGACATAGGGAATGATAAAAGTAAACTGTACACTGTCGCAAGTTAAGACAAGCAAAAAGTTGGAATAAAGCCCATACAAGTAAAAAACTGGTTTTATGTTGTTTTTTTTACTTGGATTTTCTGATGTAGGGCTTCAGAACATCTTCTGATGTGGTTTCAAATCCCAGGTGTGTTGCAAGACTTTTCAACAATGGCCTGTGTGCAGAACTTCTACAGATCCAGAACAGAGAGATCTTCTCCTGAGGTACACTGCAGAACTTCCAAAAGTCCTGACATCTATCATTTTCATTGCCTGCGGGGAAGCTTTTTGACATCTCTCCCGTTGAAAACCAAAATGCCGATACACTGCCCTCTTCAAAATTGAAAATTGTTGCACCATTTTTGAGTAATGATTTGTCTCTTATCACCACTAGTTATCAAAGAGGCAGTACTTTTTTCCACTCTTGGTTCTCTCCTTGATTTTCAACACCATACAGATCAAACATTTAACTACTTTACAAGACGACTTTTTTCAGACATAGGTTTTGGGTGGAGGAATGATCCCTGTTGGAATCATTTTCAGGAGGAAAATCCAACTTATGAGCGAAGTTATCAGGGAATCAAAACTCATCAAAGCTCAAAAATATAGACATCAAGTAAAAGCTTGTTTAACTAACAACACTAAAAGTCTTTTTTTTCTGGTTCATTCTGTTAGGCTAGTATAAAAACTAATTAACTATAGATTAATGAAATAGGGTTGTATTTAAAACAAATTATTACATGTTATTGGCACCACAAACACATCTTGTTTTACCTGGAATACATAAGTCCAGTCACCAGACTCAATCGTAGTTTAACAGGCAACAGATGCAACCGCTTTTTGCCTCAATAATTAATAAGTAAAAACTAGTAATTGTCAACAGGAAATAAGCTAGAGCACATGTAATTTAGTTTTATTTTAGGATTCGCAAAATGAAATAATGGCAACCTTAATGTTTGACATAGAGTCACTTGATGATGTGAAGGATGAAACAATAGAGCCAGATTTCCCCACAGTTTTTATGTAACACTCTCCTCCTTATGATGACGTAAAAAAGACGTCAATCTGTTTTAACAGGCACCACTGCATCTCATGGTCATGGGAAACCAAGATATGCTCAGCATGCAGAGCTTCTCCCTGCCTGGCTTAAACCTCTACACCCTCTACACCATGAGAATTTCAGTCTCATCTATAACCCTTCAATAAAAGTCAAGGCAAGCAGAGTGATTTTAATAACCACTAGCCGTCTGTTTTTACAGAAGTACTCGCATTTAACAGGTTCCAAGGGTGGAAGAGTAAACATGCAAAATGCTGGTGTTGTTAGAAAAACTTCATTCACATTTACTCTCATTGATGTTTAAAGTTATTTTTTATTACTCTGGGACTGGCCAATTACTCACCACATGAGGGAGAGAGAGATGTAACAAAGGGTCCCCTGTAGAGCAATCTAATGAGCTTCATATTACAGACCATCGATCATTGAGAGTTGACTTTTACTGCTGTTTCTGCTGATGATATTTTCTTATTTGCAGGCTGATTGTTGGAAAAGAACAGCCAAATTTAAAAAAAAAAAAAAACCTGATCATTGAAAATCAAAGAAGCCTGATACAATAGGGTCTGCTGTGTGGTTGTGAAACCTGGTGGTCTTAAATTTAACAAGAGTGCTATCTAGTGGTAGGAAGAGGGGGAGCTTTGTCCAGTATCTGCTCTTGATTATTTACATCATCACTGATGTTTTGATCACACCAATCAGCACATCATATCAGCTGGGATGCTGTTGCTTTTAGTTCAAACTCATTTCAGTTTGTAAAGAAATAAGATGAGTATTAAAAATAAAGAAACACATTTGCTCTCACAAGTTAATGCTGTAGTCTGGGCCTAGGTCGTCAGTATTACCATAGCAGGTCTTACCCGTGTACTCCTGCTTTGTGTACTTATCCTCATTGCACAAATCCCAGTAATGATTTTGGCTTATAACAAAAGAGAGTGTAAGTACTTGGAATATGGGTGATTTCTGCCGGCGTTAGACCATCATTTCAAAATTAAAATCTAGCATTAATTCAAAGCATCTAGCATTGAGTCTAGCATTAATTCAAATGCATAATAATAAATACACCATGACAATAAAGCTTAACCTGCTTTCTTGAGTAAATTTAATATATGCTGCATTAAACTATTTTAATCAAAGTTTGACACCTGTTCCTGTAAGTACTCAGTTTTACCACAAGATGGCTCTACATACATATAGGACAATAGGTTTAATGGTGATTGTTGTGTTCTTTAACAAATAGAAATGCAGAACAAACACACAGTTTGTTCACTCAACCAAACTTATTATGACGATACATTTGAACATGCAATATGTAATCAATCTATCGTGATCAGGATAAAAACTTAGTTTTCAGTCACAGATGTGAGAAAGTAATCCACAAGGAGAGCACAGTTGCATTAAGTAAGAAAAAGTTGCAACATCAGAAAATGTGCGTGCGTGTGTGTGTAATTGTGCACAAAGACTCAACATTGAGAGCTCCATAGATTTTAAACTGCTGTAGGGGTGAAATGAAGCTACAGTTGAGGTTCCTCTGAGCAACTCTTGGTTTGTGTCCATTTTGGCATCCCTTTGACAAAATAGTACCTTAATTTTTTGCTAATTTTGCTTTGTGTATGTGCAAACATTTTATTTCATATTTTAAATAACAAATCACATTCTCTTTTATAATAGTAAAATATATCTCTCAAGAAGCTTTGCTGTTAAAATGTAACGTAATGCTGTTTGGACAGTGTGCAGATGTTCACTATACCTGACTTCTAACCCCCTTGTGGCAGTGACAGACGTTAAAAATAACTGTATAGAAATAGGCAGCCTTTATGCAGATAATTTTGCTTTATTTTTAAGTTAAAGAGGCGTCAGTACTTATTCCTATCTGTTTCGTAATCAGCTGAAAAGTCCCCACAGGAGCTCCAATGTATCTCCAGAGCTGTCAGAGGGTAACAGGTAAATCAATTAGTGGCGCTGTGGTGGATTGCAGTCTGTCTCATGAGAGGAGTGGGGCATCTGGGGCCTCTCAAGCACAAACTGTACATGTGTCCCTGCGGGGCATCAGCAGGTATGCAGCTCACCTGTGAAGCTCCTCAGGCTAATGACAGAGCAGTCAACAAACCTGCTATTCTACAGAAGCGTGTGACTTTGTGTTATGTATATATGTGAATGTGGTGTTATGACATGAATTAATTAACAAATCCTATCCCCAGGTGTACACTTACAGGAGCGAGTGCACAATATGTGCTGTCCTGTGCACATACATAGTGTGTTATTGACGTAGGCATATGCCAGATCAGGCAGTTTCAGAGTTGTCTGGCAACAACAGGTTTGTAAACTGTGAATGCAAAACCAATCGTCCCATGATACTGTGTGTGTTTGACTTTCTTCACTCTAGTTGCAGCAAACAGCTGTAGGAATCAAGATTTGCATATTAGTCATTTACACTAAACGCTGCAGGCAATGAAATGGATAAAAGTGTACTCTCAACCATGAGATTGTAAGTTACTAGACTTTTCTTAACTGTTTGTATAAAAGCATAGAACACTTTGGGGGTTCAAATCTTAAAAAATAAAGTATCGGCTCGTAAGAAAACTACTGTAGTTACTGACTTCACAGAGTCTGCAGAGATATCACTCTTTTCCTTTCAGGGGCCTGTCATGCATATGGAACATTATTATGAACATATTCGACAAAATCAAGTACTTAAATTTAATCTTGTTGAAATTTCTCAGATTAAATAAATCAGAACAAATTAGAAACTGGATAGATGAACAAACACACACTGTTATTGCTGATTGTTCCTTCGTCAAAGTAACTAGTTTGAAGCTTGGTTGTGTTTCCTTTAAGTGGTTTATAACACTTGGACTTCTTTTGAAATAAAACTAAAGTCAAATGGTGGTACACCTCCACTTGAGTTGGCCTGTCTTGTACTCTTTCCACTCCTGCTTCTGCCAGCAACTCATTTGTTGTTGTGTTTTGCCATGTTGCCTTAGTTGCCTCTTTGTGGGAGGTATGAATGTGGGGGACTACATTCAGACCCATGGACACTGAGAGGGGTGGGGATTATGTCTCACTGGCACTTGCCCTGACTGTTGCTGTGGTACATCTGTTGTCCCCCAGCACATGAGCATGGCACTGAAACCCCCCAGTTAAAGTGTCTATATTGTGGGTCTGTTCATGTTGTATGTATTTACTGGGAAATCATTGAGTCAGTGGACTGCAGCATGAGGTCATCTCTTTGATATAGTATCTCAGAGACAATGAATACAGATAATAAATGAGTTACTCAGCTTCTGCTCTACTATCCAATCTGTTTTTGATTTGAGTCTCCACAATCACACGGAGAAAATTGCCTCAGTTCTGCACAGCTGCAGTATTTTGCAGTATTTCCTAGGCTGTATTTCAAACTCCCGGCGAGTCTCGGCTCCCAAGTAGTATGACTCATGAGAGGAAGGTAATCACAGGCAATGATGTGGACCGCTGCAGGGCAAGCCCCGTTGTGGAGGAATACCCTTGAGAAAGTCCACGCCGTCTGCGAACGACTGCTCATATAGGTCTTGGGATCGCCCTGGTCGCATATCCAACCAGATGAGTCGTCTCGTACGCCGTGCGTGCTTTTGTCCAATCACCATCGAGGTTAGAATTCCTGCCTCAACACCATTGGTCAATTCTCGACTAGGGCGTTTTTTTAGCTCGCTCCAACAGCACCATCTCTGGCAGGTGGTGTGTGCTTTAAAAACCATACAGTAGGCTAATGTTTAGGACGATAGGTAGGTAGTTGTAGAGGAAGAAACACACTTTAGGTTCTTTATTTGTTGTTTTTTGGTTGATAGTTTTTCGCTACGTGCCATTACGCGTCCTTTCAAGCCACCGGGAGCGCAGTGAATGAGATGAACGTCGGGGTTTCCCTTTCTGAGCCAGACACTTTGTGCTTTACGGTCAGCGGTGAATTAGACAACTGCTCCTTCATCATCATGCAGCTGGTGAAAAAAGACGGAAAAGCCCTACATGTTGATTATATTTCGCCGCCGGTGTTAGTCTGAATGAAAGAAAATCTCCCCTACTACCACGGCTGAAAAAAGGACTCACATCCTGGAGCTGCCTCACCTCATCCGCCGGTGTTGCATTTAGTATGATATGTTGATGACATTTTTTGGAAGTGGTGGTGCCTTTTGTTTTCATTTCGGGATATGCGGATCCGTGAAGGCATCGAAACGCAAGCGAGCGGACGTTTTTTTCTGCTCCTAAAATGAGGAAGCGTTTTCATAAAAGACCCAGAAAATGGCAAGAAGGTCTCGTCGTCCGTGGGCCCGGATTTGAGTGAAATGAGAAGGAAAGGAGCAAATGATTTTTTTTCCTCTACAGAATGACACCAAAGGGGGTAAAACAGTGGAGGCAGATGAGACGCAGCATCAATGAAGGCGATCTGGACAAGTTTTGAGTCGCTCACAATGAACAGAAATACTTTGCAGCTCAATAGCAGATCGTTTCCACAATATTGAATGATTTTTTTTCTGCTTTGGGAGATTTTCTAGTTCACCAGTCATCTCTTTTCGCATTGCATTCGTCATCTTTTTCATTATATGTTTGATTTTTTTCTTTTATATTTTTGATTCGGATCCAGCCCTGCTTATTCAATGGAAGTATGTTATCAGCTGCCGGTGTTGCCTCTTGACAGGCCGGTTCCCAAGCATGTCCTCAGCCGGAGGGGAGCCATTAGTTTCAGCTCTAGCTCTTCTCTCTTCGGGGCTCCTGATCCAAGACAGCTGTCACAGGTAAAGGAATGCTAAAACAAATATCCTTATCATTTTGACAACATAGGTTCAGCTTGCATAATAACACAGCCCCCAAACCAGCATCTGTTTTAAACAAATATGTGAATAATCCACAGGAATCTTGCAGGTGGTTGTTGGATATCTAGGCCCTAACACACACTTGCATAGACACACACACATTTTCTTATCTCTTATATCTAAACACACTAGTACCAGCCATCTCCTCATACTTTGCATTTGTGCATGCTGCCTTTTTGATAAACTCCCTCCTGGTTTACAGTTTAGCCAGCACTGATAGTGTGTAAAGTAAACCAGTTTGCTCTTAGGACTTGCTACATTTGTCAGAGGGAACGTGTCACTCTGTTATTTATGTTAACATCCCTTGACACATTGACAGAAGCAACATAAATCATTGAGTCATACTTGAACTTCCTGCTTTCTCCGAGTCTTGAACTCTTGAAAATGTGTCTCACGTAAGCCTGCCTTTGTATTTCTTACGCTGTGGTGAAAGAAACTAAACTGATAGGCCACAACAACGTTCTTCATTTTGTGGGCTCACATTCTCATGTGCACAGAAAAAGCAGCACAGCCCTATAATGTGTCTCCTATGACTTAGCCAAACACTGAGTCAATGTTGTGTGTAAGCATGTATCAGATGATATCCTCTCCATTAGGGCCTGTGTCCATTACACTTGCTTGACTAACTGCCACACATGTGTGTCTGCTGAGAAGAGCTGCACATGTTGTCATGAGTCAATGAAGTCATTCCCACCATGTTACACTTTTTGAAAAGGAGAAAAATATCCATATTCTTGCTTCAGTTGTTTTGCACAAAAGCAGCAGGGTGTACTCTCATTTCATTGGGTCACGTCCCGCTAGTTGGGCCATGAACAGAAACTCCCACAGCGTTTCATGGCATCTCCTGACACATTAGCTAAGCATTAAGTCACTGTCTTTGACTGTGCCCTCTTCAATAGGCTGTCCATTAGTGCTTTGTGAGCCACCGCTCCACATAACCAGCCGTGTGTGTCCGCTTTGAACCTGCCACACCATCACAGGAAGCTCCCTCAAAGATAAATGCAAAGTCTGTCTATTAAAGTCCGGCAATGGTGCTCATCCTAAGTGGCCTTTTTGTCAGGACTATCAGCATTGGATTTTTTCAATACCATTCTGCTCTGCAGATGCATATTCCCAATTCTAGACCAGCAAATTAGCTTATTATTCTTAGTATTCTGAGAGGTACTATTGAAAATGATAGTTATAGTGTTGGTGGGAAAATACTGACTGACTGCTGTCATTTTGGCAGCTTTGACTAACATTGCACTCTCCATTATCATCTTTTTATTAACATAAACTGGCAAGACTTACCAGCTTATCTTTTAAGGAGGACTATTTCTTATAAAGTATACTGATAGCCCAGTACCTGACGTCAGTTGACGTCAAGTGTCATAACTCTTAATGTCGGATCATGTTTTTATCAGTCATTGCCCTCTATGCTTGCTTTCTTTATTCAACAACTAGTTAGTAATTAGTTCAGCAGGGAACAAGATAACCAGGTTGATTTTTTGCCCTGTCTGGCAAAAGTTAGCTGATATTTGTAGTGGTTCTGGAGATCATCTTGCAATATCTTCCTGTTGTTTAAGGTTTGGTAGGACTGATTTTACTTCCCCCGATCCACTTGGATGACGATATCTGCGATCAGGTATTCTGTTGTGTGGGAGAACCCTGAGGACAGCCAAGCACACTCATGTTGAACAGGAGGATAGCAAGCAGGAAGCAAGCTGACTGGAGACAGAAGCACAACAAACGCATTCAGCAGTGAATGCATAAAGCATTAATGGACTACAGAAATGTAGGGCCAACATATTGATTTGTGGCAACATCACAGCATGCACTGTAGAACCTAAAAAAAAGTCAAACTGACAGGAAGCGTGGAACAGAAATTGGGAAGGCCGTGGGTTTAGCAGGTAGCAAAGAAGCTAGCAAAGTTCGGCTGAACAACCATCCAGTTGTCCTCCATAATTTCTCAGTTTGTGATTCAGGAATGCAGTTGCTTGTGAATGATAGCTGTTAATGTGAGGTGTGCTGTGATGGCCACATGGTTGCACTCCACACACCAAAAGAGCATAGCTGTCACTCATTATTTATTGTCTCTCAAATCCTCAAAGTCTTTGAAGATTTGAAAAATCTTTAAACATGGGCCAGGTATTACTTGGCCTGTAAAAATGATTGAGGGACCTCAGGCCATTATACGTCTTGGTGTTTCTATACTATTGCTTCCCATATTGCAGGTCTAAAGTAGGGAGAAGGTCTCTATACATAAACTAGATTGCTCATCCTCTGCATATAACCAAAAAAAAGAAGCTTATTGTGTCTTTTGGTCTGGTTCACCAGTTGATTTCCAAAGTAGGCCAGAGTTCATTTCAAATCGGCAGGTGTGAGGTGTGTGTGCAATTATTCTTCTTTGTCGGGAGAGAAAAAAAAGAGGTTCATTTGCTCCAACAGTGCTAAAGTAGTTTCCAGTGAAAGGGAAAAGTTCTGCATGTCATTTTTGAAGAGGAATTGTTTAATTTCTCTTATTTAAAAAGGAAATGTTTGCAAAAACTGTCCTCTTTGTGCTTGTATTCATCATAAAGAGATGCAGACAAAGTCATTCATCAGTTTTTCTTTATGAACAGTAGCAGAATTGGATAACATGCTTGCACACACACAGAGGGATGTCACTCATCCTTTGTCACAGAGCAATTACACTTATACAAATATTGTGTTTCGGGCCCTATTTATGACCATAAGGGTGCGTTTGTCCTTGGTGGCTGCTGTGTTTTTGTGTGTGGTTCCACAGGCCTGTTGTTTGTGGAAGCAGCTCTGGGCTAGCAGCATTGCAGAAAGAGGCAGTTAGGCATGTGCCTGGGCTCTGTGGGCAGTGGTTTGGCTCGCAGCCAGACTCACAGATGGCCGGAGTCTCAGTCTCTTTTTCTTTCTCTGGCTATCTTGTTCCACTCACTCACAAGCTCTCCCTCTCTCTTTCTTTCTTTCTCTTTCTCTTCAAGCCCCCTCCCTCCCTCCCTCCCTCCCTCACAGATGAAGACATTTCCTCTTGTAAACAGAGGACGAAAGAGTGGGGTTGAACAGTCTCAGAAGAATATGTTACTGTGTGTTTGGGGAATGCTTATGATTGGGAGTAAATATGCTGCTGAAGAGGCGTTGAAAACAGCAACAGCATTAAATAAATGTTCTCATTTATCTTTTACAATGCCTCTATTGTTTTAGGACAATGCATGTTGGCTGCCCGTTGACTAATTCCTAAAAGTGAGGAAGATGATAATTGGGATTTGGCTTGAATATAGTGATGCATGCTGGTCCCTTCTGGCTTTGCTTTGGTGAGGGGTGAACACGGGACTGTGAGAGATCAGATCAGTGCAAAATGAAAGGTAAAAAGAGGGCGCAGCAAATTCTTTATTTAGCGCCATTCACATACGTTCGAACTTAAGGATAGTTTTTAATGGCTGAAAAACATCTGACGGGACTGGACCGAAGCCAAGTTTCTGTGCCGTGTGGCTGGCTGTCATGATGTGGGACTAGTAACACACAGTCACATGTTTCTGACAGGGCTGTGTAATTGACAACCCCTCCAAAAAAAAGCGGAAGAAAACCTCGCAGGGATACAAGAATCAATAAACAGATGCAGGGTATTGATGAGTTCTGAGCAGTCACATGGCTTTTAGCGATAATGGGAGGAAAGCGGCTTAGACTCAAAACATCAGTCCATAATATCACGGTCTGAGATATCATCAAGAGTTTGTTGGCCACTGACCCCGGATCGACTCCTCCTTATTTCAGATGTTTAGAGAGATGATGATAGCCCTGTGCATAAGGGTGGGAGATAGCGCTGCTTGTTTCATCCACACTGTGGATGTTTCTGTACAGAGCACGATAAGAGAATACACTACAGTGCTGCTCTCCGAGGGAGTTACTTTGTTGATTTTAGCTGAACCGATAAGGTTTTTTTTCTTCCTACACAGTGCCATCGGATTGACGTAGTTTCAGGATGTGGTAAGAATGCTGAAGGAGTCGTTCAGACTCTGAGCTCGGTGTTTCACAACCTTTCACAAAAGCTTTAACTCTCTCCTCCCCAGATTCAGGGTTTTCTAGGAAGTTTGTGTGAATGAGCTGGAATGGCGGGCTCTGTTTGTTATTAAGCGAGGATGTGAATTATTTAGTAAATAAACAGGAGCAGCCCCTTCCAGCCTGCCTTCATGTAAGTCTTCTCTGTCTCTCTGCCTGTCTGTTTCTCTGTCAGGGGCCCCTCTTATCACATGACCATTTTGTTTTTGTGCTGCAGTGTCGAGTGCAATCGGCCGTGAGAATGTGGCTCCACACATCAACACACTAACGGACACAATGTCAGGGTTTGGCCACTCTGGCTTAATATTAATCATATTTACTGTAGTCCACCAGATTTTAGAGAGGAGGAAGGGAGAATGAGTTCACCGGTGTTTGTAGTTTGAAACACCTAACAGTTTTCTGTGGGTACACCACTTGGAGTTTTGTTTGCCCTCTTCAGAAGGTTAAGACTTCTAAGGGAGGAGGGGTAGTAAGCTGGCCTAGAGAAGCAATTAGAGCCTGGGGATGATGTTTAAAAACGAATGAAATTCCTGTGCGGAGCAGAAAGCCTGTGAGAGCATGAAGCCCCCTCCCCCCAAACCTGAACTCCACTTCTTTCTTTCGTAGAGTTACAGGCACATTTAAAACAGGGCTCTTTTAAAGCTTTCTGCACAGAGAAGCCTTAAATCATTCTGAGACACTTTACCAGCCACTTGGAGAAAAAAAACATTGGTTGCAGAGTTATCACAGCTCAGCAAGCATGTTGCTTTGTTCTCCGCTGTAGACGCTACCCTGTCATCCGCTGGCTAAGGCATCAGGCCAATTCACCCCAGGCCTCTCCTCCTCTAAAACTCACTGCAGCTGGAGTGTGTCAGAGTGGACAGTGTTCTCATAAAACACTCCAACAACAGGTAGACTCCATCTGGGGCTTTTGTGTATGCAGTGGCTGGAGTACAAATAGAAACACACACACATATATGGACACACTCACTCAATTCAAACCTGTCTGCATTTATGGCTTAGCACTCAGTTACTGGAATGTGCAGTCCCACACAGCAGAGCGCTGCAAGAGACCATAACTCAGAAGGAAGCTTTCAGTTTATGAAACAGTGCCGCAGAGTCCAGCTGCCTTTATCTCAGGAATTTACATGAGTGTGTGCAGTGCGTGTGTGAGCTGCTTCATTTCTGATAAGTCGGTTTATAGGAATACTGCTGGCTTCCTCATTTGTCTGACCCCAGCTGACCGAATGTGCAATAGTATGTCCCCACCAGAAAAACAGAAAACATAAACATTTTAAAGCTAAATGGCACAATGAAAGCAGAGTTTGCATCCATGTTTGTAACCAAGAAGTATGGGTATGTCTTCGTTTGCGCCAGGCTGCTGAATGTCAGTCAAAGGGCATCAAACTACAATATCAGCTCACCACAGTGCTGTGATGACAAGAAAGCCTGTTTGGGAGAAAAAAAAAAGCCTCTGTGCTGCTACAAATTCTTGTTCATGCAAATCAGTCAATGCCCTTTCTACACATACAGACAATGCATGAATCTGTCTGCATCAAGCAAACATCCCTATGACAGCCGTTAGCATCTGTTTAACTGTAGGAGTCAGAAGAGGGCAAACACTCAAAGCCTGGGCTAACTCACACTGCCAAAAGTTTTGACATCATGTGACCTTCTTGACCTCTGAAACCCGAGTGCCCCGACCCGGGGCAATGAGACTTAGCCGAGATAAGGAACAGAGCCGTACGTAAACGAGCTCACATAAAATCGCAGAGGACACAATGAGAAGGCTGTTATGCTCGCAGTAGACTCCAAACAAAAATCTGATTCCCTCGTTCTCAAACTGTTTTCAAGCAAACACAAACTGGCTGCATCTCTGTGGTTGTTTGAAGAAAGACTGGTTTTCATGTTCTTTAAGTTTAACAACACTGTTCTAGTTTAATATGTTAAGCTTTAAAGTAAACAGAAAAAAGGGGCCTCCTCAAATACAGGGCAGTGTTAAACCTTCAGTCCGCCCTGGATTAATAAGAGACAGATGGTGCTGATGCTGCGTTCGAGTTACCTCGAAAGTCGGATGTCCAAGCTGAAAATGACGTCACACCCGAGTTCCCATTGTTTCAGCTACCAAGCAAAATTGGAGGCGGAAACAAGATGGCTAAATTTACGAAAGTTATTTTAGCGCTTGCCTTGTCGGGATATAAGGCAAGCGCTAAAGTAACTTTCGTAGATGTAGCCATCTTGTTTCAGGCCTCTGATTTTGCTTTTTCCTGACTTCGTAACTGAAACACTGGAAACCCGGGTGTGACGTCATTTCAGCTCTGACATCTGACATCCAAGGTAACTCGAACGCAGCATTGGTGCATCAAATATCTTCCCAGTTCTGCAAGAGCCTGTGCTGAAGAAAACCTGCAATGGGCTGAGAGATTGATACAAGTTTTAGTTAGAGTTTTTGTTTGATGCTAGAGGCTGTGGGTCTAATACAGTGGTTCTCAAGTCCAGTCCTCGAGGCCCACTGTCCTGCATGTTTTAGATGTTTCCCTGCTCCAACACACCTGATTCAAATGATAAGCTCGTTATCAAGCTCTGTAATGGCTTAATAACGAGCTGATCATTTGAATCAGGTGTGTTGGAGCAGGGAAACTTCCAAATCATGCAGGACAGTGGATCTCGAGGACTGAACTTGAGAACCACTGGTCTAATACAAAGTGGCATCCAATCATGCTGAGCAGTAATTCCCCCAATTTCAAGTAGACCCTTACTCCAGGAATGCTGACTGCAGTGAAATGAAAAAAAATTCCAACAACTCACACTTAAAAATACAATGAAGGTGCCCCCCCCAAAAAAAAAAAAAAAACAAAAAAAAAAACACCTCCTTTTCTCAAGTTTGGCTAGTTTGCTAATCATTCGCGCTACTATTAAGGACTTTAATTTGCTCAATGGATGACCCAGCCCATTTCTTTACCTAGCTTTTGTCCTCTTTAACTGATAAAATTGATGATGAATGTAAACAAGGAAACAACCACAACAAGGAAAACAGCTTCTTTAGAAACCCATTGTTTTTCTTTATTCAACTGAGGAACAACTGGCAGATGTCCACTGCATTGGATAGCTTTGCTGCGATGCGTCATGATCGAAACCATTGATATGAGCACTGTACTTCCTGTGTCTCCTTTTGAAGAAATGGGACACACCTCACCTCAGCTGTTGTACATGAGTTAGTGCCATCATCTCCTGCTTCACAATCAGATACTACACCACCATAGCTTGCGCAAGTTTTGTGCATCTCTGTTCATCCTTCATAAAAACATAGAAATCCTGTCCTCTAGTGTTCTAACAGAAATTCAAACAAGCACGACATGCTCTTTCGAAGGAACCAAAAATGGACTCTCAGTGTAAGATTTTACTTGACCCCCTCCGACCTCTAATGGAAAGAGAAGCTGAGATAGGACACCATGAAATGAACCTTGTAGATCATGCAGGTGGAGGTGGTTTGCAAAAGCATTTCAAAAAGAAGATTAACCACTGCTGGACTACATTCCTGATGTTTCACATGATTGAAACTCATGATAAGCTTGTGCAATAAAGAGCAATCTGCAAAGTGAACTTTAAGAATGAATGAGTAGTGTTTGACTTTGACTCTCTGCATTTCCCTCTGCCCTCGTCGTCAGTGAAGCAGAAATGACTGTAGCAGCGCTTACAAAGGGGCTCAAGTTCATGTGCGACCACAACAGCACCACTACAGGGTTTTTGTGTGTTTGGACTTGGCACGACGAGGCGTGGCAGGGGTGTGTGTTGTGGGCGGGCCATTTCAAGGGTAAAACGTGACTCTCCCCTCTGTTCACAGTGGGAATGTGACATTGACCGTGTTTGCTCTGCCTCCTCCTTCATACCAGTTCACAAGGCAGCACATGCCAGTGTCCACTTAAGTGCCAACTGGTAGCTGGCCTTTCATGTGTGTGTGTTTGTGTGTGTGTGTGAAGCAAGCTGTGGCCAAAAGGTTTGTTTGGGCAGGGGCTGGCAGGGCTGGTCACTCTTCCATTCCCAGCTCAGGGGCCAGCATTATACAGTTCCCACGCATGTTACAGCAGATACAACCCCCTTACACACACACACACACAGATTCAGATACACACAGCCTGAGCTACTAGATACACACAATCTATAATATTCACACTAACCACTGGTGCTGTGTGTAAACATAGAGGCCTGTTGACACTAAAATACAGCTTTGTAGATTACCCACCCTGAGTCAAGCTGTTTGCTAGCCGGTAAAATATTAGCTTTGGATCGGTGGCTGTCATGAGCTCTGGGGGACAGACAGTGTCAGGTGTGTGTGTGTTTATGTGTGTGTGTGTGAGGGAGATCTACAGTGATCTTAAGGATGTGAATCACAGAGGATGTAAGCGTTTTCATTTCTGTTTGCATGTGTATGTGTCCGAGGGGTGGCCGATCCATGATTGTCTTAAAGGGATCCCAGGATAAAGTCAGACTTGATCTGTAAGCTGAGGCGAGTCGGTGCGGCTCCCAGTGGAATGGGTGACACGAGATAAGAGTATCCACAGCAGGGAGAGCAGAGAGCTGCCCTGGAGGGCGGCTAGGATGTGTTGAGTGCATCGAGAGGTGAGCCAACACCTCAGCGTAGCCCCGAGCAGCTGTCTGTCGACAGAGCAAATATGCACTCACCACCGTCCTACCCACTACAGCGAGCAGTGGGTCTGAGACTGTTCTGCTGCAGCTGCCTCCTGCTGAGAGATAGTGTACACACTAGATAGTGTAGCAGACGAAGTGAAGAGAGGATGAGACACAACTTTCTCTCTTAAATTGACATGATCTACCTCTGGGTTTCAGCACTTTGTTAAACTTTTGAAGTAAACAGGAGCCCTCCTCTTATTAGAGTATTTACAACAGGATGTGACTCTTCGGTCTGTTGAAATCAAGGCTCTTGAAATGCTGGAAAACATTCACTTGTGAAAAAGCACATCAGTCTTATTTCTCAAGATCTATTGTCTCCTGTTTTCACATATATATTAAAGTCCAAAAAAGAAAGAGGTTGAAATAATTTTGTCCTTAAAATTGAAAAGTATGATCAGCAGAGATAATCTTAAGGAATATGTCTTCACACTGCCAACCTAACTGCAGCATATCTCTACCGTTTACTGTGTGGGAGCCGCTAAACAAGGAGTATCAAAGACACCAGTATCTGAGCCAGTAGCCACTGTGTGTAGAAGATAAGACCCCGGAGAGAAACGGCCTTTTCTAGAGGGCTTCAGATAAGGGTACACTAGCCAAGACTTCCTTTTCTGTGAAGTTTGAGAGTAGAGAGACAAAATGTACAACCAGACTGTTCTCCAAACTTCTATGCAGACTTGTTTTCTAAGATTAATAGAAGCCAAATGGCCTTTTGATGGTAGTGTTTGGGTCCCAGAATTGCATTTTTGCTACCACCCTTGCTCTCGGCACAGACTGAATGCCCTTTGGTTTTCGGTTCACTCCATTTTGTATTTCCACACAGACATCGTTGAGGAAAACTCCAAATCAGATGCAAAATCAAGATAATTATCAACCTTAGAAAAGAGGTTGCATATTCTCACTACACTTGATGTAAAAATTATCGGCTCCCGGCTTTTAAGCTTAGTCTGGATTTTTAGATTGGTTAGAAATGTTTGAACCAATGGACTGGCCCAAAAACGTACCAAATTCTGACACCACTACTGGCCAAAGGTTGGTGGACAGGTGGACATTTGCAAAACAAATCCATTCAAATCCCGTTCACCAGCTGACGTCAGATCTCGGCAGTAACTTTTACAACTTTTATCTTCCTGTATTATCAACACCAAAGTGTCACGTACAACAATGTAGTGGGAGCAGTCTTTTTGGATGGGACCCAGAGCCATTTCGTTTTATGAGAAAGGCTGTGTGTGTGTGTGTGTGTGGATGTGAATGTGTATGGGTGTGTGCGTGTTTGTCCACAACACGTGGGTTACTCACATGACTGATAGCACCAGTTTAAGAGCCGTATCAGGCGGATGATATGGAGCTGGAACATGTTTATCAGTGAAGCAGTTAGTACACACACACACACACTTACACACCTACACACACAGTGGAGTAAAACTAACAGATGCAACATCTCACCACCTTTCACTTTGCATGCATGTGTAAAAAAAAAGTTGGCGGTACTCAGTTTTTGACATGTTATTGGGGGGAAAAAAGTGTTGGGATGATACTGTGGTAATATTGTGGTGGTATAAACCTTAGAGAGTTATTAATGATATATTTTTTTTGTTTGTTTAGAGACGAGGGGCCATCTCCTATGACAGCTCCGACCAAACAGCGCTGTACATTCGTATGCTAGGTAAGTGTTTCCCTGCTCTCATCTCATAACCGCACGTGCAGTGACAGCAGACACACACAAACTCACGTTTTCCAGACATCAGCAGGTTTATCCCCTCCATGCTCATTTCATTTCTTAATACACAATGGCTTAAAAAAGCAGCGAGATGGGAAATGGATGAAGAGAGGGATGTAGAGATTATGAAACGATGGGAATGCAAGAGAGCCCACTCCATCCTGAGCATTTTGGTAATCTCTTAAATCAGTGTGTGATTGCAGATTTATCCTCCAAGTTTGTCCAGGTTGGTTAAAAGTAATATACCAGCAGAGAGTATTTTTTTATGTTGAGGTGTGTCCATTTGTCCAGTGCGACCCTGAACAGAAGAAGCACTTTAGAAATGGATGAGAGGAATGAGAGCTTACATCTCTGCCAGGCAGATGGACTCAAATGCATCGAGGTAGCAGCCAGATCAGCTTTCCCTTCCTAATCAATAAGGTTATTGAGGATAATGGTACGATTAGAGCCTGGTTGTACCCCCAACATCAGCCTCACACACACACATACACGCACACACACTGACAGATTTGCCCTCGCACAAACTTTTCCCACGTTAATTCACAGATCAGATGGTGTCGGCTTGTAGTGAGCAGCGAGAAAGAAAGCAGAATCGCTCACTGTGTTCTCCTGTCAGTGTCGTTCATAGTTATTAGATTGCTGCTGTGAAGCGTAGTGAGTAGGCAGGGAGCATTAAACAGCAGGGGCATCCAGGCTTACTGAGTGTCTTTTTTGAAATCCTGTTTACTGTAGCGTCCACCTAATGTTGCTACACCGTGTTTCTCTCTGACCCTGCTTGATAACACCGATGACTCCGCCACTGCCACGTGCTTCTCTTTGCAGCAACAGCGATTTATGGAGCTGACTGAAGGAGTTTTAGCTTTTTTTTTTAATCATTTTACTTGGCAAAGTCTGATTGCAGGCTCATTCGTCACCGGCATAAAGCATCTGTGACGATGGATTTTTATATTAATTTGAGTGTGAGGAGAGGCACGCTAATGCAGACGAGTAAGGTCCAGTCTGCCAACTTAATACTGATGTGCTTTCAAATAGCTGGACTCAGAGCTTTTGCCGCATCAGTTATAATGACATGACCTACATCCACCCCTGAGCACCAGCACTAATGCACCGCAGGGGAAACATGGACCCTGTGACTCTGAAAACACACTAATCGCACAGACACATCCACGTGCGTTGCCACAGCACATGCATCTGCAGATGTGACAGATGTGCAACACACGCACACACACACATGCACGCAGGATTACACATTTGCACGTGGAATACCAAAGATACAGTTTCACTCTGCATTCATACCATTCACGTCACAAACTGCCTTTTAGAATAATGTGAAGAGGCAACGTAACTTGGATTGTAATTCTTAGTTTTTGGTATTTTGATAGGAGCATGTGTAGTTTTCAGGCAGCTGTTATCAAGTAAGTAACATGCCAGTCGGGAGAGAAATATCTGTGTGATTGCTTTGATTTCAAATCTAATGCACATAAGAAACAATCAGAAGTGACATGCTGGGAGAAAATGACCACTGCACCCTGTCGCACCTTGGCGATTTTTCAGCATATAGAGAGTTGCTTGTAACGTCACAGTCGCATTTTTCTGCATCAGTGTCATAGCACTGTCCTGTCACATCACTACGCTCTCACTGCTCCTGCCTGCAGACTACAAGCAGGCCGGCTCCCGCTTTGGTTCAAGTCCGGAGCCTGTCCCTGACTACTAAAAACAGTCCTTGATGGACAGTAAATCACTCTGAGCACTAATAGTAGAGCAGACTGTCCTGACATGGCATTGCATGCTCAGCTGTTTGATTGACTCTCCTCCTCTGGGAAGCTAGAGTGTGTGTCTGAGCGTGACTGTGCTGGCACATGGACAGTATACACCAGATTTGAGTTAAACGGTTTTTCCAGAATCACATCTTTTGCTTGTTTTCGTTTGCTTTGGGCACCAAGATTAAAGTTGTTATGTCATTTGACATTTTTGAATGGAAAGGTGAAGTCCTGCATCGTTTTAAGAGCTTAGTATAAGATGGATTATTTTCGGTTTTTATACAAAGCCAGCAATGATGTTGAACACACACACATTTTGAGCTGCAGTTTGTGCACATTTACTACATTTTCCACCAGAAAAAAAGATGCTTAGAGATACTGCAGCAAATATCAAAGACTGTTTGCTTTGATGGCATTCAATGGCTTCAGCTCCCATGAGACAGTAACAGTAATTTCCTGGCCGAAACTCAACAAAACAAACCAATCTGCTGCTTTGTCTTAAAAATGAGAAGTTGGTCCACAGCTACTAAACTTGAGTGTTCCTAAGGAGAGAAAGATTTATTAATACAGCACATCATGTTGAACAAGAATCTCGCATCAAAACTTCCAAGCAAAAAAAAAAACAGAGGTAGCATAGCAACCGACACTTAACAACCAGTTACATTACAAAAGGAGTCAAGTAAAGTGAAGGGAGTCTGAAGTCCAGTCCCTCATGAATGCTGCCAGAAAACCAAAATCAGTCTCAGTATTTAAGATGAAGAATTAGAAAGAACCCTGCAGAGAAAAATACTGTTTGGCTTTGTCTAGTGGAAGAGAAGAGAAGCAGACTTAAAAGAGTGCAGGATTTCAGCTTCACCTGTATTTTTCTTATGATAGTGCTTTCATTTCCCCACAGTGAAGCTTTTGATCTGCGTCGCTCTCATGCAAATTTGAATCCCAGTATACAATTAAAACTGTCCATTTTTTATAAGCTGCTATCTGCAGATACTACTGATCCTTGCACATACACTCTTATTTTCAGACTGCATGAATCTTGAGGAAGTAAGTGTTGATTTCTTCTAGGAGATGTGAGAGTGAGAAGTCAGGTTGGATTTGAACCGGAACGAAGAAGCTCCCACCCGTATCTGTGCATCGACTTCCGAACTCTTCACAGTGAGTATTCAGTAGTTTGACGTTTGTTCGATCCTCTCTGTCATGATTGTCAGACGGTCGTGCATTTGGAGTCGGTGGTTCACGTGATGGAACGACCTGATGAATGGACGATATCATCATGTGAATGGGCAAGATAAATCACTCTCACTTTCATTGAAACTGTTGCATTTGTCAGGAACTTACACAGAGGTGCACTTTGTGTATGTGCATGTCTGTGTGTGTGTGTGTGCGCGTGTGCGTTTTGACATTTTGACCCATAAGTAATCCTATCTCATGCTGACGTGTTTCCGGATTGCAGCTATGGTTTACTCAGACACAGAGCTATTGTGTGAGGGAAAGTGTATGCGTATGTGAGTGTGTGAGCAAGTGTGTGTGCGAGAGAGAGAGACCACTGACAAAGCATGTCTGCTGTGTGATTCCAGACGAGAGGCTTACGAGTGGGCGGCTGTGTCAGCAGCGACTGTTTGTATATCTCTGTGTTGGTGTCAGATCCCCACCGAGTTTGTGCAACCCAAATGATTCTCTGAGCCTAATGAGCCTGTAAAATCAACATCAAGCGAAGACACTCATACACATATGACATATTACTTCTTCTCTCCATTTCTGTGTGCGTTTGTGCAGCGCGGCTGGGATGTGGGTCTGCGTCTGATTCTGCTCCTGAAAGGAGGGTCCACAGACTGCTCAGCTTCCAGAGGTACCTGCACTCATCCCGCCTGCTGAGGGGAATCCCCCAGCAGATCCCCCTCCACCTCCTGGATGAAGACTACACTGGACAAGCTAGAGTAGGACATCCACCTTTATACGTAACACGACCATATGTTCACTCAAATGAAATGCTGTGTGCAGATTTCAGGTCATTTATTCCGGGCTTCTGTCTCCTCTCTTTTTTAGTGTATGCTGGAAAAAGTTGGAACCTGGAATTTTGACATTTTCCTCTTCGACAGGCTGACAAATGGTGGGTAAAATATGTCCTGAAATACGGGTCTGAAGTTGTATTAAAAGTCAGTCAGAGGCAGCACTGATGAGAATTAAGCATTGAACAAACCTCAGAGTCAATGTGTTTCCAATGGTGCCATCTATTGGACGCCAGTTCTCACATAAGGGTACTGTTTGAAGATTTACTCTGTAATTGAGCCGCTGAATTTATTTGTGAGGGAAAAACAAATCTAAATATCCCAGAGTTTAAGTTCCTTTTGTTCTCAGGCTGATTGTTCTGGTGGAAACAACTGTGTATTAAATCAGCAGTCATTAAACAAGCAAACTGAAACAAAAACATCTTTATCCAATAGAACCCCCAACAGATAGAAGTCTGTTTCATTTTGAGTTAAAGCTTTGGTTTCATGAGTTCCTGTCATACATCTGTCTTTACGTGAAATTGGAGGAGGTATCATGAGACATAAAAACCACCAGAATGAATGATCACAAAGAAACCTCATTTGGGGAAGTTAAGGAAAGGAGGAATAGAGAGAGACTGTGCCACCGTGAAAAGACCAACAGATGGTTGATGTTTTATTTATACGAATTGAAAGACATCTGCTCGTTTCTTTGTTCAGGAAACAGCCTGATCACCCTTACGTACCACCTGCTGAACCAGTACGGCCTGGTGGAGCTCTTCCAGCTGGACATGGTCAAACTCTGGAGGTTCCTGGTCATGGTCCAGGAGGACTACCACAGTGGCAACCCCTACCACAACGCTGTGCATGCTGCAGATGTCACACAGGCCATGTACTGCTACCTACGAGAGCCCATGGTCAGTGATGCACACGAGACGCTTATGGATCTTTTTAGAGACGCAGGATGTTAGACGATTCTTAGATCTAAAAGGAGGGGTAATTTTGCAATATTTGTCATTACTGCAGCTCGCCAAGTCTATGACCTCCTGTGACATCCTACTGGGACTGCTAGCAGCCGCCACACATGACTTGGACCATCCTGGGGTCAACCAGCCTTTCCTCATTAAGACTGACCACTATCTAGCTACACTGTACAGGGTAAAACAGCTGAACTGCTGTCTCCTCAAACTCTATCATCAGTGTGTGGTAGTAGAAATTAAATAAATAAATTGACATATTAAATGATAAAATGGTATCATGCATGTTTTTTCTGTCACTGTGCAGAATACCTCAGTTTTGGAAAACCACCACTGGAAGTCAGCAGTTGGCCTGCTTAGAGAGACAGGGCTGTTCTCCCATCTTCCTGCTGAGGACAGGTCAGTCTGACACTGAGCAAATGAGAAAACACAACACTGAATTGCACCTATGGGAGGGATAGAAATGTTGCTAAAGAGAAAAACACTTTTCTCCCCTCAGTCTGAATATGGAGAGGGAGTTGGGCTCCTTGATCCTGGCCACAGACATCAGCAGACAGAATGAATACCTGTCCAGGTTTCGCCTGCACCTGGACCAGGATAACCTGTGCTTGAGCAATGCCAGCCATCGGCACTTCGTCCTGCAGGTCTGCTACCTCTGCCTCTGCCATGAAACTGGTTTATTTGAGCTCATGTCATCTAATATACTGTCGATTTTTGCCATGCAGATGGCTCTGAAGTGCGCAGACATCTGTAACCCCTGCAGACCCTGGGAGCTGAGCAAACTATGGAGTGAGAAAGTCACCGAGGAGTTCTTCCAGCAAGGTAAACCTCTTCTCTTAAGTGTATCTATCTCTGCTTTAATCGATTAGTTATCAGTAGATCGTAAATTTATGTTCATTCATTCATTTATTGCGCTACTTTTTCAGGAGATATTGAGAAGAAGCACAAACTTGAAGTCAGCCTACTTTGCGACAGAGACGCAAACACAGTTGGAAACATTCAAATAGGTTCCTGTTTGTTTTTCAAATTTTCTTCCATTCAGCTCTCACTTTAAAATACCAGGCCTTGGCGCTGATCTTCCTCTTCTACCTCTTCTTGCTCTCCAGGTTTCATGACGTACGTGGCAGAGCCTCTGTTCGCAGAGTGGGCCCGTTTCTCCGACACGCGTCTGTCCCAGACCATGCTGGGCCACATGGGGCTGAACAAGGCCAGCTGGGGCGGCCTACAGCAGGAACAAACCTCCGTCTCTGAAGAGGCAGAGCCCAGCACATCGGGCGTCAACACAGAAGACGCCCCCGCCGCCGCCGCCGTCGTTGTTGCCCAAAGAGACAGCAACGCAGCCACAACCACAGGAGGAACCAGCTCCAAAGAAATACCTCAGGGAAGCAGAGAATCCTGACTCTCCTCGTGTGCCCTTTCACCTCAGCCTCCTGACCCTTGACCCCGGCCTCAGGGCCTTGACACACACTGGGGGCCGGGTGGGGCGTGGGGCAGCCCGCAGCCATGCCATGCCCCATCCGATCCTAACTCCATGTTTATGTTTTGTTGCTTTTGCCTCCCATCTTGATAAACCACTGATTTTATTTAATTTATTTAATTTTAATTCCTCTTTTTTGGCATAGAGCAATACATAGATACCTCATTTGGCTACTGCTGTATTTTCTTTTATTTGCTTTGTTTTATTTATTGTCCACTGTAGTTTTGGCATTAGTGACTGAACACACCACTTTTTTTTGTTTTTTGTGAACCATAAGGGGAAAACAGTATGAGAACTGAAGAAGAACCTTTTTTTCTGGTCTTTTGAAGTGCCATTTGAAAACAAAGATTTGAAGAATGATCTGAACCGAATTGACGGAGATGACTGGAGTATTTCAGACTGTAGACCCTCCTAAGACTATAAACCGTGTTGCATTTGTATTGACGATTCTTCCTCATGTAAAAACAACAAAAAAATGTGACAAGCCCAGTCCTTTTGCTGCCTCTATGAAGACTGTTTACGCATCTCCCTGTTTGTTTGTCCTTTCTGTCCCTTGAACTGAACTGAATCCTGTCGGCTCCACGGTTTGCCTTCGAAGCACAGATGTGAAGAACCACTTGTTTAAACTGTCATCCCACTGTTGAAGCCATGAGCAGACCCTTATTCAAACACACCAGATGCCATAAGTAACTCCGCCTGTGCTACAAACGTGTTCTTGCACTCCTGAATAATGATGGTGTTGGACGTGCATCCTCTTCTCCACCACACCTTGTGAAGGTATTGTAGAAATTAGTCCTTTTTTCTTCCAGTGCTGGTCGAACTCGGGTTAGCTTCCCACCCAGACTGGAGATCTGAAACTCGCTGCACATGCATCTAAACCTGGAACTCCACTCCACGCAACTCGACTCGCTCAGGGTTTTGCCAAGAGGGAGAGGAGGGGGAGGAGGTGACTGCAGGAGATGCAAGGCTGTTGTTTTTTTTTTTCTGTTCCAGGCTAGGGTCTACTGAAGGAGACTCTCCCTCTCCGCAGAATGTCTCCCTCAGCCACATGCAACCTAAAGGACTGCTCGATTGATGCCTTAGAACTATGCACAAACTATGCTAAGTGACCAAACCAGCTCCTGTTCCCATCAAGTGCATGGTGTGCTTGTCTTTGAATGCACTGTCCAATCCCTTTGCCTTTTTTTTGTTGTGAGGAACAACTCCAGCTGTCCTTTTCTTTTCTCTCTCTCGCTCTCTTTTGTACGGAAACAAAATGGTTGAGTGACTTTGAACATTCCATTTCTTTGTTTGGTTTGTCTACTTTGACTCTTTATAGTGGCACAACTTTGTGTTTGTGTTTAAACATTTTGAAAGATAACAGGTGCTTTTCTTACTTTAGCTGATTTGTATTTTGCTGTAAGTGCTGTAAGACTGTTGATAAAACTGTTTACAATTTGTTGCGACAGCCATTTTTGGGATGACTAAGTGTCGAGCCAGATTTTGTAAAGGCTTTGCTGTATTGACCTTTTTGATACATGCCTGTTGCAGTTAAGATTTGAATAATAAAACCTGTTGCTGACAGACTTTCCTTTCAATTCCACATGGAAAACTCTGGTAGTTCATACCTTTTAAACCAGTGGTATTCAAGTCCAGTCCTCGAGCCCCCCACTGTCCTGCATGTTTTGGATGTTTCTCTGCTCCAACACACCTGATTCAAATGATCAGCTCGTTATCAAGCTCTGAAATGGGTTAATAACGAGCTGATCATTTGAATCAGGTGTGTTGGAGTAGGTAAACATCCAAAACATGCAGGACCGGACTTCAGAACCACTGCCTTAAACACACAAGGTAAGCTCTAGTGAGGTAACTTTTCCCTCACTTCAGACCGAACAAGACAACTGGCAGCTTCTTCAGGTTAAATCTTAACATGACAAACACAAGTGCAAGTCGGGACAACCCATAAACTTTTATTGAGAGATTTGACAACACAAGATAACACATTTTATGGAAGACAACTCTGGTATAGTAAATTCAAAATCACTTTGTGACTACAGACACGCCCAACCACATTCCCTTGTTGTACGAGGTAACACTAGTCATTGTGAAGCAGAAAGTACTCTTCTATAGTGGTGCCCAGTCAGTTGCTTTGAACAAAATACTGCCTGAATAACCTCACAGGACCTGAGGAGTTGACTGGGACCTCTTCAAACTGAGGCTTAAACGTGTGGCGTTACCAGCGCAAAGGCAACATGGAAACCTTTGGGTTACTGATAACAGGAGGTGGCTTATGACCTTTTACTGAAACATGCTGTCAATACCGATTTACCCACAACCATGAAGTATGTCTCTGCCGATGGTTATCTGGAAGGCTTACGTTATGGGAGAGTTGCTTAGTGACGAAAGAGAAAATATCATTGGAAGATACTGATAAAGCAACAAAACACTGCACATGTGCCCGTGAAACCAGAAATATGACTCTGTTGAACATTTACAGGATGTTTTATTGGTTAAGGACAAACACCCTAAATAAGGAAATAAAAAAGGGACTTTTTTGGCAGTTTGAGGCTAAAGCTAGCTCTCTGGAATGTCTTTGGCTGTTAAAACTCGAGAAAGGAAATATTCTAAATAACCCAGCTGAGAATATGTGAACCATGGCAAGACTGGCAACTGGGACACAACCTGAACAAATTCAAAGAAAAAAAAAAAACTTGGTTAAAACTTGACTAAAATTAATAACAGATAACTCGAAAACATAATTACCTGTGTTAAAATCAACATACCTACTCAAAACGCGACATAAATAGAGGCTTCCCGATCATAAATTAGTCTACAAGTCTTCACAATATATATATATATTTAATAATAAAAAATACAGCACACTATTCCACGAACATGAAAGTGCTTCAGTTCCCCTGTGGAGGAAGAACTCTTCAGCGTTCACAGACACCTACAAACTTGGAATAAACTGACCAATATTACTTCGTGCAACAACGATTGAACTATAAACCGAGAATCGAACAACTCTGTAGTGTTGCTTTAAAACGGACTCCAATCTCAGACTGTTAAAGTCACAATTGTGATGTATGGAACCGACAGAAAAAAAAACGACAATCAAAAGAAAAAACAAAAGACTAATGTGTGATAAAAGTGCAAAAATGGTTGGTCAGAATGATCACTGACTGCGACACTCGAAGACACTTAGAGAAGCTGAGGCAGAATCCCTTCTCCTCCCACTGAAGCAGCTGGTCTAAAAGGGTTAATAAGGCACTTTGAAGTGTCCACAGTACACGTAGGGCTTAGAGCAGCTTCCTTTTTCCAGTTTGTTTCAACATGTGCTGCCCAAACTGTAAAAAGAGAGAACACACAAGTACATCAGAACCCAACAAATAATTTAAACGACATAATTCATATCAGAAAAACTCAATTTGAAAAATAACGAAGAGTGTTAAGCATGAAAAAAGCCTAAAAAATTTGAAAAAGTGCATCCAGAATGATATCTTCAAACACAGAAGTTCACTACTGTTTAAAAGTTTTGTCAATAATAGATACATTCATGTTTCATACCAAAGGTGTTTGGGTTTTAGGTTTCACTTCAGGAACAGGAAGTTTGAAGTCCTCCCTGTCATCTTGCTCACTGTCATGTCGATAACGGTGGGCAAACTTGCGTTTCAGGGCCTCAGCGATGAGAGCTGCAGCATCGGCCGGCTCACTGGACTTCAATTTGGCATCATCTTCCACAGGACGACTGTGGAAACAATCATTTGAATTTGCATGATGTAAATGTTGACTTATTTCAAAACACTTCAGTGTCACACTTGGTGCATCTGGATGTATTTCTTACCTCTTGACTGATCTCAGCTTGACTTTGTTCATGTCTTTCAGTACATCCAGCATGCTGGGGACCTCTGCTGGCCTCGGCTCCAAAACTGTCTGGCTCTCTGTCTTCTTCCCCTTGCGCTCTTTTATCAAGTCAATGGCAGAAAATGTCCGCTGGAGACTTGGGGGTGGAAGGGGGGGAGGAGGAGGAGGAGGAGGAGGGGGAGGTGGTGGAGGCAGGGTTCCAGAGGGTGGAGGGGGAGGTGGAGGTGTCCCTGTGGGAGCAGCTGAGACAAAGCAAAGGAAAGTGAAATGTTGGAGCTGTGAGTCTGGTGAAATTCTGCTGCCATCTAGAGGAGGATCAGTGTTACAACAGTGGGGGGAAAAAAAGGAAAAAAAAAAACAACAACCCTCAGTGTGTTCACACAACACGGAGACAGGGGGTGTAACAGATACCTGGCTGTGCGCTCTTCTCCTGGGCTAGGACAATTTGTGCGATCTGAGCTCTGAGCTTGGCGAGCTCCGTCTCCAGCGCACTGATCTTCTGAATGGCTTCATCATTGGTAGCAGTTGGACCCTGGGGGTCTGGAGGGCCCTGATGCAGGCTTGGTAGTGACCTTCGGCGGGCTAATGTGTGGGGAGGAGGCTGGCGGGCTCGAAACAAGAGTCCAGGTGGGATTCCTGATCTGTTTAAAAAATATTTAGCTTTTTTAGTTACTGCTACTCTAGAGCGAAGGAATCTATCCCATAGATGACCGGCCCGCTCTAACCTGGGTCTGCCGAGGAAATCTTCAGTGTCTCCCTCGTCCCTGTCGATCCATGCCACATCAGCCAGTGAGGCGACCACGCCGTTCTGTCTCCTGGCACCAATCAGGAGACCGGCATCCTCACTATACGGATAAAGCTGAAAAGAGAGAGAACATCCAAATCAACTACAAGATAAAAAAGTTTAGAAAAACATACCAGATGAGAACACAAAGAAATCTAAGCAGATCACAAGAAGGAGAGGATGTAAAGGCTGTTGATACAAGAACAAGATCCCCGTCATGCTTGATGTGAACGGTTCAAGTTGCTATGTGGGTCTTTAATCAGCAGGTTGTCAGAGGTTGCTGAACAGACTGACCTAAAGCAGACAAACTGCATTCCTCAAAGCCACGGAGGGCGGCTGGAGAGGGAAGAGAGGAAGAAAAGAGAAAGCACAGAGTTGAAGGAGGCAGAAAAGTAAAGAGAAACAATTTAGTTCATTGAACCACATGCAGCTGAATTAAAAAACTGTGAAAGTTTAATTTGTTAGCAGTCTGTCACAAGGTAAAGACAGCCAGTGCAGAATACCTTTGTAATACTGGTTGTATCACCTGTGTTTATGGTTCTTAAATGAAAACAGTCAGAGAAGCAGAGGTAAACAGAAGTTTAAAGAGGGTGTGTGATTTCTTGTCTCGTGGCTGTGACTCTGACAGTCAGGAGAGCAGACAGACAGGAGAGGAGAGGAGAGGAGAGGGAGCTGTATCATCTTTATCGAGTCAAAAAAGGTAGGATTGCAAGATGATGATCACTCACCTGAAAATGAACCCTGGGGCAGGGTTTCAGAGGAAGGCTGGTAGCTATTCTCCTCACGATACTTCTTGAGGACCCATAGGGCTTGGCTGATCCAAAAGCCTGAAAATAAATGTACAAGTTGCACATCAAGTAAATGTTAAAATCTGTTCCTTACATTCAAGTTCTAAACAAAAAGATCATGTTCAAATTTATCACAGTATTATTTTTCACATCCATGACAATTGCTTCCCAGATTCTAAAACTGAGACACCTTTTCAGACACGCTTTCAGACAAGAGTAGGCCTGCACAATATGAGAAAGTATGCCAGGTGTGATAACAATGTTCACTACTGTGATTACAAGGCGCAGTGCAATAAAAATTGAGTACATATTAGCTTTAACTATGTCCATCTGGCTGCTGTTATTCATATTTAAAACTGTATTTGCAACATGCCTCTGAGTGTAGTAAACAGCTAGTTAAGTGTATCAGGGTGGTGCAGGTAGATGGCCATTGAACACAGGCCTCTATCCAATAAGTTTTATATACCAGTGACAAGTAAGGAAGCATTGGTAGTTTACGTCTAATATTTTTCATCATTCATAGCAGTTCATTCAGAATTTAATCAAGTGCTCGCTGCCATAATTATTACAAAGGTGTACAATATTGCAGCCCGAGGATTTTTGAATTGTTTATGAAACAATGAAATATTATTTTCTAAACGCAGGTAAATCGTAGAGTCAGCTGATGCTCACTGAGTCAGATACCAGCCAATACTGCCACTTACCAGGTCCATTTCTATAGGTGCATGGTCTTCACTCATTTCTGTGTTTCACAAGGGCAGATGGACACTTGCCCAGACACCAAGGGTACCATCCCTGACTGTTTACCTAAAAAGAAAAAAAAAAGTGACAAAATAGGGTAGGATCACTGCAAAACACTTTTCCCAATCCGCTATGAGAAGCAGTAACACAGAAAATGAGACCATTTCTATTAAGGCCTGACAGGTGTGGATTTTTGGGGGCCGATTATTAGGGGGGAAAAAAATCAGATTATCAATTGGCCGACTTTATTTTTTTTTAAAGTAAGTTTTAATATAGATATCTATAGAAGAAGGCTAATAGCAGGTGGCCAAATCTAACTTTAGCTTGCATATTACATGGCGCTTCACCGTTAACCCGGTGTGACCTAGACCAGCACAGCGGGGAACATCGTGAAGTGGGTTGAACCGAAACTTGTCAAATCTTATTCTCCGCATTTTATTTCTGAAAATATTGGCGAAAATCGGCGAGTTTTGGCCGATTACCTTTAAGTCTCAAACGGGCTAAAATTGGCCGATTTAACCGGCTCGCCGATAAATCGGTCGGGCCCTCATTTCTATATATGCTATATAAAAGCAAAAAACTAAGGTCCAGAGAAGTATTTTTCCACTATGTTTGCGATGAGCAGAGATGTCATTAAAAAAAATCTAAATAGCAGCCGAGTAAATACATATGAGGTTGATATTAATACCAATGAACACACATAGAGCATTAAACACATTGATGGCACAAAGTGTAAGTCATCGAGTAAAAAAAATCAAGAGAAAATGCTTCAGATTTGAGGATTGGTTACCAGATTGGAGGGCATCTTAAACTGCAAAACGAAAGCAACAACAGACATGCATCTTAACATACACAAACACCTGAGGAAACTAATGCAGCCCTTAAGGTCTACATTTCAAAGTACACCACCCACAGGTGCTGTGATCACCTGTTTGATCACAGAAACCAGAACTTCACCTTTAAAAGGTATCTGCTATCAGAGTTAGTGGATGAGCTGCTTCGTGTGTCTGCATTAGATTACTCAGGTGTTCGTAATGTCACTGATGGTATGTGTATACTTAGCTGTGAAAATTGATGTTGTCATAAGTATGTAAATTGGGACACACCAGTAAGACAAAATTAAAGACAACAATAAGAGAAACACAGGAACAGCTTGTCACGGGTGTTGTTATATCTTGCTTGTTTGAGGTTAATCTTTAAGTGAGCAAACTTTGCCGACACTAAACATGCAGCTAACCGAGGCTAAAGACGCGGGCTAGGCTAACAGAAGGCAACTTCACCGCCCGCTGACAGATTTATGAGTAAATGTCAAAGAAACGGACACTTCCAGTAACCCAGTAACCAACAGCCATCAGCAAGTAAAAGTATTTCGCGTGTTTTCAACGATTGGTTGTCAACAAATGGAGAAAACTTACCAAAACTAACTCTGGATAACGCCTCAGTAAAATTTTCCAACTTGTTAACCGACTGCATCCACTGAAGAGGTGACTCCAGTGGGAAGGACCATGGGATACCTTTTCAACCAATCGGATTACACACACTGCCACAGCTACACTACTATTGGTTCCTCATAATGATTGACAGGCTATCCCACCAGTTTTATTCCACATTGGAAAATATAAACTCAATGATTGGTTTGTACATCTGCCAATCATGTTGTATCGCCCGATGATTTATCACGAAGCCTGTGGATGTTCGTTGTGTTGTCTTGCATATCCCGACGGAATCATATCCGGTCAAAACTGGATGTGCACCAGAAACCGTGATGTCCTGGATAACAAATCAGCTGCACCCATTGACGTACTACTAACCCCAAACACTTTGCACAGCTGCTAGCTAGGGAAGCAAAGTAAAGAAAAGGGTGCAGGCCTAGAATTTGTGAAATTGTTTGTTACATCTGTTTTTAATGTCCCACTGGAACTCAGCTGTTTTCACGTCGTCTTTTGCCCCCGTTTGTAACTGAAGTCCGCTGGAGTTGTCTTATGGTTTTACCGAAAACTGACAGGAAGGTATGCTATCATTGTCAAAGAGCGTTATCTTAGCCTAGCTTAGCTTAGCTGCAGATTCGCCTCTGCACCACAGGGCGTGATCTGAGGTGAAGTTGGGGGTCGTAGAAAGTCTCTTTGAGTGTTTGCGTTTGTGACATAGTTTTAAACCAAAATTCTCCTGTATTTGCCAAACTAAAGAGGCTATGCAAAAAGAGCATATCCTCTTGTATAAGTGAAATTAGTGCGTTAGCTTGATAGCAAACACCAGTCAGATGTTTGGTGTCACATTTCAGAGGTTAATGCAGCTATTTATTCACAGAAATGGAAGAAAATGTATTTAATGGAGTCTCAGGAGTAGAGATGTTTGTAAAAATAAATAGCCAGCAGTGTCAGGGTCAGAGATCTAATTCAAGAACTATCCCTGCATCTTGAATATGTCCTTGTATGTTGATTTAATTTGATCTTGTAGAAAATACCCGGTTTAATAGATTTGTTGAGGTAAGATTGGTACAACCCTTGTTTCTTTATCTTTTCTCAGTAAAAGGAAGAAGTTGGTTTGATGTGTGTGACTCCAAGACAAGAGGCACCATGAGTGCAGAGATGGATGCACTGACTGTGGTGAACCAGCTCCGAGATCTTGCTGCAGACCCCCTCAATCGGAGAGCCATAGTAGAAGACCAAGGCTGTCTGCCAGGTCTAATCCTGTTCCTGGACCACCCTAACCCACAGGTTGTCTACTCTGCACTATTGGTGAGCAGCAATTGTTTGTTTACTTTTTGCTTACTTAACCGCCATCTTATTAATTGCCTGTTTTAACATCAATACACTCGTGAACCATGAAATCACCGGTGCACAAATTCACTAAAACTGGTGAAAAAGGCTGGCTCTGTGGTTGGACTCAAGCTGGACTCAGTGAAGGATGTGGTGGAGAGATATACTTTACTCTAAAGAACATGGATGACCCACTTCACAACACCTTGATGGACCAAAGGGCCAATGGTGGTGGACGGCTCCTCTCTCTTTGCTGCAGGACAGAAAGATTCAGGAGATCTTTTGTACCAACAGCCATCAGACTTTATAACTCTTGTGTAAATCGTGGATAACTTTTTTTGGAGACATATTATGTGAGACAACAGACAATGGAATTTCCCTTCAGGGATTAATAAAGTTATTCTTATTCTTATTCTTAAACCAGCCTGTCTAGATGAAATTAGTCCTTGTCTCCAGCCCCACTGGCTGTGAAATTAGGTGTTATGTGCTCACGCTCAACCCCCACTCTTCCTCCCTGCTGTCCAGCAAAGATAACTGAAGGCCCTTTCTCCCTCTGCTGTGCCCCGGTCCACTGTTAAAGGTGACACGTGGTGGCATTTGAGCAGCTACTTCAAAACATTGCTCAATTGTGACATCTGCTGTCTGTTTTAGATAAAAAGATAAAAGATGCACCTCACCTTTATTAGCAAAGCACTTTATATAGATAGATAGATTTATTGATCCCCGTGGGGAAATTTGTCTTCACCAGCTGTACATTACATAAAAGGACAAAAATGCACATCACATAGGACAGGCCTTAAGGAACAGACAACTAATGGCAAACACCCGGACAACAGCAATCGGCAACAAGCAGCAAGCTTTGTTATGCTTGTGTCTGACTTTGTAAGTGGTCTTGCGTAACAGAGTTGCCCCATGCTGGTTGCTGATGAAGTGTAAATACACAGCCTTTGTGTTTGTGCATTCATGTATGTTATGTAATATTGTACTATTTCACATGGTCATTCATTTTTAAGAGCTTTTTCTCTTGTGCTATCAGGAATACTCAGGTTTTTTTTGATGAATAACAGCTCCTCTTGCCCTTGCAGGCCGTGCGCTACCTGGCAGAATGTCGAGCCAACAGAGAGAAGATGAAGGGCGAGCTGGGCATGATGCTGAGTTTGCAGAACGTCATGCAGAAGCAAGTCCCTGTCATTACAACATCCCTCTCTAACCTCCACACACAATCTCACAGACACATGCTCACTGTGCACTTTCTTTCATAAAACCTTAACCTGGGATTTCTTTTGTTTTGCATGGATAATGTGTGCCAGTCTGCAGATTTTCTCGTCAGGTTGATGCCCTTTATTTTCCATGTCAGATTGACTGTGATTCAAGTTGAATGAGATAAAGGTGGGAAATGGTTAAAACTGCTGTCCTCGCATATCAGAGATTTTAATTCACCTTGCCACTTCTCTGCGGTTTCTTGATGAGTCAACTTGCACGGTTTTACTGATGTGAGCTCATATTTGCCCTTGTTTTGTGGCAGAGTTAGCAAGTTATTTTGCACACAGGGTATATTTTCAGTGTTAACATTTGTTGCTTGTGTGTTGTTTTGACTTTTCTCTTAACAGTATTCAGAATTCCACTATATCAGTTTAATGAGCTATAATGAGCACACTACAATCATCTATCAAGGGGCACAGACAGGCCTGGTTTGAGGAGGTGTTGTGCTCCAGATAGCTGCTCTTAGCCGAGGGTGTACGGCAGTATAGCTACGCTGCTGCTCATCATTAGCACCCTGATAGGAATAGAGCTATGTTCAAGTGGCTGTTTGTGGCTTGTATGGTTTTTAGCAATTCTCCCCCTGTGGCACAGCTCTTGCTTGCCCTGTAATTGGCCAGTCACTTGAGCTTCTCATGAATGGCATGAAGACGAGCCCTGCGGCAACAAGCTGCAGCTTTCCCTGCTCTGACTTTGGCTAGAGGTCGATCATACCCGGGCAGAGTGGGAACACACTGCTGAGGGGGAGCGTGCGGCATGGTCGCACCAAACAGGTGTGAATACCACTTTTACACCGTCAACACATTAAGACTTGAAGCTCAAAGAGATGTGTCCTCTTTTCAGTGCACAGAGGTGATACGTTTGTTATGGAGAGTGTTTAGCTCCCTGAAAAGCTGACATGCTTCCATAGAACCCAGGATCCCAGAGGGCAGCTATGCCAGACAGCTGATGTCATATGTGGTTACTATAGAGCGAATGATGACTTGGTGACATATAAAGCGGTATTGCCTGCAGGTGAATCTCAGGATTCCTCAGAAAATATCAGCACCTTCAGCTGACCGTATATGGATCTCTCAAGCAAACCTTCTGCCCGCTGTAATGTTATGCTCCGCTGTGGATTTTTTTTTCTTAAAAGGGCATAAAAAGCATAACTGAAGAGCAGACTTGGCTTTATAAGCATGAAATTAATGTGGTGTGAAGGATTGCAGCCTGGTCTACTGTCACACTTGATCTTTGTACGATTAATCCGAGCATAAATTCGCTCAGATATTAATAGTGTTTGCAAATTTAAAGCTCCTAATCAGGAAGGACAGGAAGGTCAAATTCAGATTAAACCCAGTGGGGTTTCAGATACAGGAGGGTAATGAATTTATTTATATGTTTGGTGTTTTTTTTTTTAATTAAACTCTTCTCGCCTAAATGAGAGGTCTGTCTCTGGATGGTAATTCCCATCTTGGTCCCAAACAGAAATACTGTGGCAGTTACTTTGTGTCTTATGAGTTTACAACATCCTCTCTACCTGTTCTTGTCATTTTCCAGACCTACTCCAAACTGCACTGTTATAATATTGTTGCTTATGTACATAGGCAGACAGTAAAATGTTTTTATCGTATGTAGTGGTGCTGTCCACAGAGACCATAGTAGTGAAATGAGACGTCATTGTTTTCTGTCATAGTTCTCATCTATTGCTTTACTCTTTTCTTTTCACAGGAGTACGTCACCCGGGGAGACCAAACTGCTCGCTTCTGAGATCTATGAGATCTTACAGTCAGCTGGGCAAGAGGAGGCCGAACAGGCTGAGGCTGCAGCGGCCTCCTGCCGACGTAAAGCCCACTTCTTTCTGGGCTCCAGCAACAAAAGGGCCAAAACCGTGGTGCTGCACATCGATGGATTGGACGACCCTGTGAGTGTCCAAAGAGTGCATTCAAGACACAGTGAACGTCTGTTCATCTCTTCTGGGGGTATTTTGTGTTTGCTGTTGTCAACATGACAGCGTTGTCAGGGTAACTAAGCAGTGTCTATCTGGCACGGGATGGTGGTGGTGGGGGGGCAGAAGGGTCAGGTTGGAAATGTCAGACATTGAACAGCAGGGTGCTGAGATTGAACCTGAATGCTGCTCTGCAGGAAGCTCTCACCTAGCCAGATTACATTACAGCAGACAGACGGCCTCTGGTGGGCCGCAGCGATATCCCTGTAAGAGCATCACACAGCGCTGTGGCAGCTGGGAATTGTAGTCATTTAATTAGTATTTCTAAAAATGTTGGTTAATGTTGCTCTCAAATGTAAGATATTTTTGACTTGATCAAACTCATTCTGTGTCATTGAATTTTTCAGTTTAATGCAGTATTATGTACCTTCGAGCCACAGTCATGACACTTCGGCCTTGCCCATACCTCTCATCTGTTCCCCTCCCTTTTTCCAGACTCGAAGGAGTCTCTGTGAAGAGGCGTTGTTAAAGATTCGGGGGGTCATCAGCTTCACTTTCCAGATGGCTGTGAAGAGATGTGTTGTCAGGATCCGCTCTGACCTTAAAGCTGACGTAAGTGTCTGTCCCAAGGCGAGAATCACACTGAGACTTGGGTGCACATGGTACTAGAGCTGTGTCCACTAAACAATGAAACCATGTCATTCTTACTAGTTGTTTAAACACATGATTGGTAATTTTGATTAATGTTGGCCCACATTTTCATTATTGCTTTTGCACTTGCAGTTGATGACTAACAGTCATGTTTGTAACCAACTATCACTTCCCAGAGAGTTTCCTACAGTGCTTTCTTTTTGTTTCAGGCACTGGGCACAGCAATCAACTCCACCAAAGTATTGACGGCTCAGCAGGTGGTGAAGACAGAGGATGGAGCGGAGGTAAGAAAAAAAACTAACATCTTAATTCTTTATCTTGATCGATCAATATGCTCACTGTGTGTTTAGTGTATCTCTGCACATGGAGTGTAGCCGCCCTTGCCTGTGGCTGAGACTTAGTCACACTGACATGATTAGTTAGTCACATTTCTGCCTCAGCCTGTGGCCAGTTCCTTTTTGCCTAACACATTACCATCCCAGTTGCACCATTTTACAAGGGTGTATTCCCAGCTTGTAGCTTGATGCCCAACTTGTTGAGCAGTAAATCCTACATAGCCTGTATTTTATTTCCAACAATCTGCAGAGGGAATGATTGTTCATTTGATTGTTGCTTGAATTTTTTGTAGTTGTTGTCAGGCTTGCTTCTTGTAGTCATACACAATATGGCCAGCAGGGGTCAGGCCAGGTTCAGTCATGTTATCTGACTCCAGATGTGGACTATTTAGCTCTGTGGACTCTGCACAAGTGTTTTCTAATATTTGTTTTAACTGTCTTAAAATAAACAAATATTTCTCTTCTATCTTTGTGCAGCTCATAGTCCCATTCCAGGAGGACTCGACGGTGCTGGTAGAGGAGAACTTGGACATCCCGGATTACCTGCCCGAGGAGGAGAGCCCGTCCCAGGAGCAGGACAAAGCAGTGACGCGAGTCGGCTCCATCACAGACGGCATGGGCTGGCTCAGCACAGCCGCCAACTTCCTGACACGCTCCTTTTACTGGTGACCACTTCCTGTGTCCCTCTCCTTGCTCCCTGGTTCCCTCTAAGGTACCCTCCAGCTGCAGCCTTAGCTTCTCTCAGCCCTGACGCGGACTAAGCCCTGCCTCTTAGCCTCACATTAGTTTAGACGTCCCTCAGCAGAGCGCACAGAGCTCCGACTGCAAGCGTGCAAGACGTGCTGGACTGCCAAGTGGAACCTGCAATAACTTAAACTTGTGTAAATATCAAGGTACAAATCCCACTACTGGCTATGTGCGCACAACTATATACTAGCTGCATATGTATCTCACAAGACATGGCCAGAGGAGTTTCCATCAGCCGAAACCAAATAACATTCTGGAAACCTGTATGGCTGACATGTGGCAGGCATGTTTGATTTTTCCGAGGCGAATTTGGGGTACACAGAAAATTGGGAGTTCCTTTATTACTTTTGCATGATTTTTTTGGTGTCTTTCCCTCCTGTCTGCTCACTCTCAATCATTCTTCTTTTACTGTATATCTCTTTCATACTTTTCATCCTTTATTATTCAAATCAAACTGCGTTTTCCCTCTTTTTTTTGGTTTTATTAGCATGCTATGAGTCTTTGTGCCAAACTTGCCTGATGCCTACATCCTAATTATGTGTGCCTTTTTTGACATTTTACTTTGTTGTCGATTTTTCATGATTCAGTCAATTGATTTGCGAACTCAGAGTTGCGTACGTGCTTCCTGTAAGAGCTGCAGCAGCCAGCTTTAGAGATCACTTTGGTAGGAATAGTAAAGTTAGACACCAGCAGGAGGCTGCAGCTCAGTCAGCCACTGCCTCACATGCATCAAGACTGTTTGTTACATACTGAAGGAGGAACTCATTAGAACCGACTGATAGCTCCTTGTGTTATTTGCACAGACTTTAGGCTACCTCTGCTTCCTGCTTTCTATCTCACATTATTAGCCTCCTCTTCTTCTGTAGTTATCGTAAAATCTTAGATCTGCATGGTGAAGACGAACTCATTAGCTGCCTGCTTTGTTACCAGGACTCCCTGCAACATTTTACAATATTGTAGCCCCTTCTCTTCAGCTCAGATTTCAGTTTAGCCAACAGTGTCCTTACAGCAAAGATCATGTTGGTGCACACACATACAGAGGACTCACTAATGCATTAAATTATGTCGTCGCGTACTGGAGCAAGAGTTTGGGTGATGTACATTTTGTAAATGGTGCCTGATTCCTCCAAAGTCTCTGACCTTACATGTGAAGGAACTTTTTTTTTCTCTCTCTCCTTTTTATAGTCCTTGTTTGCATTTCTAACATGAGGAGATTGTAGCAGCTAAAGCTAACGCTCCAAGCGAGTTTTCTTGTCTTTTTTTTTTTCTTCCAACCTCTTGACTCACACCGGGTTTAATTATGATCACTGACGACTTCTGTGAGTGTCATCAATAATTATCATACAGTGCTGACCAGGCGACTTTTATTGTTCGGATGGTGTGGAGACGTCACAGCGTGTTGAGGTCAAACAGATAGATAGAGGAATGACCTGAATAACCTGAATCAAGGGGCGCTGTTCTCTGGACAAGCAATAATCTCTTTTCTTTATTATTAAAGTAGTGATGATAGATGAGCATCAGCCTCTAAAACAACGGTTTTGAACAAGTTTTATTCGTTTAAAATAAAAAGCCTCATCATCAGTATTCATTTTTTCCATTTTTGCACAAAAGGCATATTTAAATTGCATCATGTAATTTCATTTTTGTTTGATTTCTCAGCTCGTAATGCAAAGAAATACTTGAACATTGTTTCTCAGACTTGTCATTATGTGTCAATCAAAGTGTAAAATTATCTTAACTGTTCATTAATCACACTGTAAAGTTGACGAAAACTACAAATCCAGTCCTCAAATTATAACTTCATGTGTACAGGCTTCATTCGTCTGTCTTCAAATGTAACATAATGTAATCATAGAACTGTAGATTCCAGTACACTGTTAATGCAAATAATGATAAACTTCAAATGTCAACCTTTGCAGTGCTTTTATTTCTCTTGCTTATTTACAGCGATGAATGAAATGTTCAGTATCCACAGCAGCGATCCAGACCTTTCTCTGTCTAAAGGCCTCGGCCACTCGTAGCTTAAAGAGAGAAATGATTGTTTCTGTACGCCTGTATGAGTGAGTTGCCCGAGGGTAGTCCTGTGGCCCGACCACCACCTCCCCCGGCTGTGGTGCTGGTAGAAAAGCAGTAGCCAGCCCCAGCTGGAGGCCCTGAAGCCACTGATGCTACTGCTGCTGCTGCTGCTCCAATGAAAGGCTGTGCCAAGCTGGAAGGGAGGCCTTCACTGACAATGTTGTATCATCATCTAGGTGGAAGATGACTAAAGAGCATGTCTAATAACAAATCTGAATCTGCCCAGACCATTAAAAAACAAATCAGTCCTAGCTGTTTTCAACCAAAATTGTGTGAAAACCAGAGAAATTATTAAACGCCATTCACAGAGGCACTTGACTGAGCTGCAGTAAAAACATTATTACAATTTGAGAAAGCACTTGATCACATTTTTGTGACGTGCACATACACTCTACCAGATTTCCTACTTGGACAAAGTACACAGATAAGCAACGGTGCTTGAATCACATTTCTCTCTGTGGTCTTATTCTGCATCCTGAAGCAATAGGCACACATTTTTAAAATAACCCCAAGTCTTCCTCATTGTCCCACATTCAGCATATTTATTTATATCTTCACCAGTAGCAGTTACCAAAAAACCTTCATGGTTCTGTGTTTGCTGCAGAGACTCAAACTTGAGGAGCTGAAACTTCTCACTTGTCACCACTAGGGAGAGACAGCAAGCCTGATAAGGATGGAGAATTATAAAGTAAGGGGTCCGGAGTATAATCTGATGTAAACAGTTGTTGTAATGAGATGACCTGAGATTCCTGATGGACTCGAGAGGCATGCTAAAAAAAGACTTCCATCTGGCCACTTCATGTTTGAGCCTGTAGACTTATGCGGTTTCTACATAGTAGATGCACCTTTCTCCAGAGTGCCTGAGCTCTCTGTGCGTAAAGCTGTTTCAGACTTAGACAGCAATTCTCAGGACTCCACTACTTTCTAATAATATTTGTCCTTTTTTTTTTTTTTGGACATATCCTCGAGAGAACATGACCGGCTCCTATCTCTCATTTTGAGATTAAAAGCTTCAGAGATGTCACTTTCACTCCTTGACTCTTTTGGATTAGACAGCTCTTCATTCGCCCTTTTTTCACCTCTCCATCAGATAAAACACAATCAGCCTGTCCTGTGCACTGCAGGCTGTATCAGCATACATGTGAATAAATGTGCAGCCGGTAGCCTATCATCCTCCCACCTGTGTTTATTTGCATGGTTAATTTGCCTGCAGGAGGAAAGGGGGGCTGATGGAGGGGAGATAGGTGCGACTCACGGCCTCACGGGCTCTTGAGGAATTTTATTGGAGGTTCAGCTCCCAGTCAATGGGATCAGCCGTAAATCCTGCTCACAGTGTGGCAGGAAATGATGTGACTCCGGCAATTTATGTCAAATAACTTTTGAGGATGTGTGAGTGTAGCGATCAGCGCTACGGGGGTGGCGATAACTCTTGTGCAGGGGGGGTCTGGTGCACATTTAATTGAGACATTTTTCTTTATCTACAGCGGAGCGCCGGTGCCGTGTTGTTGTGTAACGAGATGTAATGTCTCTCTTTATACGGGGGTCAACATCCTGGATGAGGGAAGGTCACGGACTGACTGTTTGAGGATCCAATTTGCTCACCTAGTACGTGGTCTATAGAGAGCAGGAGAAAGACACACATATTACACTCTGACAATAGAATAAAATACATCATTATTCTTTTATTTGTAAGGGAAACTATTCCTTTATATATCCATTTGTGTCCTGACGTGAATTTAACATAAAAGAGACAAGAAAACCTTACACTGGCAAACACTTGAAGGCCTTTCTGTGTTTATGGCAAGAAAAGTTTCTACCACTTTTGAAGTTGTAAATAGGCGTAATCAATTCATCATCTTATCCATTAAAACAAGATAATTTGGATTAAGGTAATATCAGACATGTATTATCCGCCCTGTTTAGCACTGATTTGCTATATTTTCATGCTAAACCCCTTTTTTTACAGGCTATTGGTTTCTACTCATTACTTCAGCAGTACTTCAGGGTATGAAATTTCTTCAATTTTCCAACAATAACAATGCAGCAATTATGCAGATGCATTAGCAGCAGTACACACCAGCAAAAGTGAAGCTATTATGAAATAAGGCAGCAGAAATCACCTTTTTTTTTTTGCTCTAAATGTGAAATGGCCTCTAGGTATCAGCATAACTTGTCAAAAAAGAGCGCTATACAATTATTTCATACTGTTGTACATTTTTATGTTTGAACAGTTTTGTAAGCTATAAAAACTTATTTTTTTTAAAACAAAATTATAATACAACAACACACCGACAGGGCAGGATAACACACAGAAAACAATAATACAAACCAAGCAAAAAAAAAAAAAGAACACTGATGAGAGTGTTGTTCTCTAAAGCACTTAAGACATAGACGGTTTCACATTTGGCAGGGAGTGGAGGGTGTAAATGATATATGATAGGTTTTTAAAATTAAATAAAACCACTCATTAAAAAATGTTTGTAGGCTACATATCTGATCAAAATAAGAGGTCTATATAAAGTTCTGTTCACGGTGGACAATCACTAATCAACATAAACCTTTAAAACGCCACCAAAGCCTCTGATTTAAAGCTGACTTAATAAGACTTACGGTGCTTTTGAGGCCCAGGTCTACAAGAACTGATGCTGCTCGCTCCAGATACCACTACCTGATTAACTTTCAAGCAACATGACCATCTTAAAACAATTTGGTTCCCTTACCGTCCAGTTAATAGACTGAATTTTATGGCCTCTGATGAATCTAAAGGGCATCACGCTCAATTTTGTCCTAAACTTCATTTTCATGGCGACTGTTTGTCAGACAAAAGCATTGAAAGTAAAAGCATGATATTTTCAAATAATATATGTAGTATGAAGATAATATGTAAATATGTGAAGTTATATGAACATGACATTTAGAGACAGTTTCAATTAATTGTAGAACTTTAAATGCGTTTCTGTGTTTAGTTTATTTTTGTTGCTACATGTGGTCAAATGATCCTTCTGTTCCATGTTTACAAACCTGACATTTAAATCATGAGTAAAAATCACTATTCCTGAAAGATCACAACAGCAGCATTAATGTTCCCATTTTTACATGCAGGCTTAACAGAAAGATTTAAGTGGTCAAGGTACATTTTAACCTTGGCTTCAAATCCATGAAAATTGAGTTTATATTGTAAGCTGATCAAGTGGAATACATGGGGGCCTTTGTGGGGAACAATAATGTGAAAGCACTTCATAACAAGGAAAATCCTGTATTCAAATTGTACTTTAGTGAAAAAACACAAGTATGACTGAATGAACACAAAGACTCCATGAATCTATCCGTATCTATTTCACTATTGTGTTCTGTACTTAAGGCTAATACTTGACAAGTAACATTTTAATATTGTAACAGCTTCACCTTGATTAATTTAGTGGCATAATCAATATCAATCTATTAACATTTCTTTTTTTAATGATATTCTAGCCTGTAATCTTAATCAAAAAATAAAATCTGGCTTTGAAATAAATGCGGAACAAAAACTACCCCCCTGAATGTAAAAAGATTGTAATTCAGAATACAACAGGGAGCCGAGGCAATGTGAAGTAACTCAAAATCACTCTCAAAGAAAGAATCTCACTTACGTGAATCTTATTCAGTCACAAAAGTTACCTCAGAATATTGAAGACAAATTTAGTGGAGAAAATATCACAAACTTGCAGCAGTGAGTGGAGTACAGAAAGCCAAAAGAAGTCAAATGTATGCACTTAATCAAACCACTTGAAATGTTATCTCCTGAATTTAATACTGAAAATAGGATCACACATGTTTTTCTCATATCAAATTGAATTTACCATTACATAAGACTTGCATCGTGCATTTCTACGTGTGCTTCTCCTTGTGTAGCAGCCTGCATGTGGGCTCTTGATGAGATGCATGCACACACAGGCTGCAGCTCATAATTGTGGCCACAGCTCATTATTGTCCCAGGGATGATTTGGATCCAGCCGGGGGGAGTCTCGTCCTCTGACACCACTTCACCATCCGCCCGCAGACAACCACTCTGGGCGCTGATTGGTGGGATGAAATATTGCCGGCGAAAATTAAAAGGTCCCAGTGTCAAAATAATTCATGATATGCATATCTTCCTGCGGCTTGATGAAATCGCTGATATCTGGATTAGGCGGATAATAAAAGCGATCAGGCTGCAGTTAAACTGTTTCAGCAGAGAGGGGAAAGAAGGAGGGAGGGGGGTCCTCTTTTTTGTGTCAGGAGAGGTGGACTTCAGGGTCAAGATACAACAAGTGTGTTTGTGTGTGTGCATGTGAGCCGCTGTCCACCACACTCACCCAGACCTGTGATTTGAATATCTGCTGTAATTGTCCCAAAACGGCTCATCAGTGGATCTGCCTGCTGCCATTAGGGGCCAACAATATGGTGTGACATTCAAATTCCCCTCTATGACAGGTTATTAGGAGCCCCAAGCAGCCGGCACATAATTAAGCACCGTATCGTTGACCTGTAATATGAAGTGATGGCTCAGGCTTGTATGAAATAGGTGCTTTGGTAAAACACTGAAGGGATTTTTTTACACAAGTGAGCATAAAAGGAAGACAGCTGTCAATGTAAAATTCAACTTCTTTGGAGGGAAATAACACAGAGTCTGATTTTATAACTAGAAAAAAAAACAAAAAACTCCATACCAGCTGCCATGGCAACAGCTGACAGATTAGAGAGTGAGATCATCAATGTGGTTCAATATCACCAAAAGTGATAAATCTAAATGTCTGTTCCTCTCTATATGCGATCAAGTCGGTTTATGTTATACAATTCACTTATACTCCATTTTTATCC